TTATAATATTAAGAAAATTACAATTCCCTGGCGCTACAGGTATTGTGCGTATACGTAGCACACAACCCCTATCGCTATAACTCGCGTTACACGGGGTCTTTTCTACTTAATAGAGGTATGATACAGGGGAGGTGGAATTAGAATTCTGCTTCTGGAGGTAATCCGAACCCTAGTTTAAGACCACGTTCGCGATATTTATAATATTAAGAAAGTACAATTTCTAGCCGCTTTGCGAGTATTATTTGGTATATGCGTATACACACCTATCGCTTTATAGCTCACGTTACCAGATTTTCTCGCACTATATTTCATAGGGTTAAGAATTAAATTCACCAACTACAATTTAATTAATCAAACCTAGTTTAAGACGCGTTCGCGTGTTATAATATTAAGAAATTTACAATTCTAGCTGCAAGGTATTATTTGCGCATATGCGGATACACACAACTATCACTATAACTCGCGTTACGGAATTTTCTCGCGGCCATTCCAATGCAGGGGAATTAAGAGTTAAATTCTGCTTCTGGTGATTAATCAAACCTAGTTTAGACCGCGTTCGCGTGTTATATTAAGAAAATTTTAGAATTTCTAGCGCTACGGTATTGTGCGTATATGCGTATACACCTATCTATAACTCACGTTACGGAATTTACTGCTCGCACTATATTTCCATACAGGAGATTAAGAATTAAATTCTGCATCTGGGAGAATCAATCCAAACCGGATTTAAGACCGCGTTCGCGTGTTGTTATAATATTAAGAAATTACAATTCCTACCGCTGCAGTACCTATTGCGTATATGCGGATACACACAACCTATCACTTTTACTCGCGATACAGTGATTCGCACATTAGAATTTAAATACAGTGAGATACAGACTTAAATTCTGCATCTGGAAAAAGTGTCGAACATTGTGACGCCTCGTTCGCGTGTTATACTAAAAACTACGAATTTTGACGCAATTTGACAGAGATAAAAGCTATCCTTTTGAACGGTGCCTGCGATACTGAACAAATTCCACCGCGTGTTTCAAAGATTAAACAAGTTAAATTGAAAGTACAATAAAGGAAAAAATAATTTAAAAAGGGTTGTAGTAAAGTGATTCCCATTCAGGGCACACCGTACTAGGCTAGCGGTAAAAAGTGACTCGTGTTCAGGGCACCGTAAGGGAGTAACGGTAGAAGTGATTCCCGATTTCGAAAAATGGGCAAAATTTAGGACATATCTTTAAACTAGCGCTGGCGACCAGCCGATCGAAGATTACGCTGAAAGTTTGGAAAATTATATATAAAGACAGAAAGAATTCCAAGGAAATACGGGGTAAGTCTAAAAGTGACATTTGCAATTTTTGATGATTTTCTTCAATCTGGCGAATATCTCGTAAACTAAAAGAGATAATTAAGATCTGATCCTTGTATCGTCTCGAGAATAGTTAAAACGAAATCTGAGAGATAAAATTTTCACTCTTAGAATTTAGAGTTACTTGATACTTTTTTCGACGATTTTCAAAATTCATATCTCTTAGAGCTAAAAGAGATAGCTACCGGCAGGTGATTATGAAGATTGGAAAATTCTCTATCAGATAAAAATACCGAGCAATTTATATTTTCAACAGCAAAAGGTCGAAGAAAAATGCGTTGAAAGTCCTAAAAGTGACATTTTGCAATTTTTGATGATTTTCTTTAATCGCGAATATCTCTCAATAAACTAAAAGAGATAATTAAGATCTGAATCACAAGCATCTTAATCTACGGACTATTTTCTATAAGATAGGATAGTTAAAACGAAATCACAAGATAAAATTTTCACTCTTAAGAAAAAAATTGCCAAGGGGGGGTGCTTGATACTTTTTTTCGACGATTTTCAAAAATTCATATCTCTTAAACTAAAAGAGATAGCTACCAACGAATTGTTGATTATGAAAGATTGGAAAATTCTCTATCAGATAAAAATATAAAATAATTATATTTCAACAGCAAAAGGTCGAAAAATGCGATTGAAAGTCCTAAAAAGTGACATTTTGCAATTTTTGATGATTTTCTTCAATCGCGAATATCTCGTAAACTAAAAGAGATAATTAAGATCTGATCGCAGCATCTTAATCTACGGACTATTTTCTATAAGATAGGATAGTTAAAACAGAAATCTGAGAGATAAAATTTTCACTCTTAAGAAAAAAATTGCCAAGGGGGGGTGCTTGATACTTTTTTTCGACGATTTTCAAAAATTCATATCTCTTAAACTAAAAGAGATAGCTACCAACGAATTGTTGATTATGAAAGATTGGAAAATTCTCTATCAGATAAAAATATAAAATAATTATATAACCAACAGCAAAAGGTCGAAAAATGCGATTGAAAGTCCTAAAAAGTGACATTTTGCAATTTTTGATGATTTTCTTCAATCGCGAATATCTCGTAAACTAAAAGAGATAATTAAGATCTGATCGCAGCATCTTAATCTACGGACTATTTTCTATAAGTTAAAAAAATTGCCAAGGGGGTGCTTGATACTTTTTCGACGATTTTTGATAATTAATATCTCTTAAACTAAAAGCGCTAGCAACCAACGAATCGCTGATTATGAAAGATTGGAAATTTCTCTATCAGATAAAAACATAAATTAATTATATTTCCAGCAGTAAAAGGTCAAAAACGCGACTGAAAGTGCTAAAAATGACATTTTGCAATTTTTGATGATTTTCTTCAATCGCGAATATCTCGTAAACTAAAAGAGATAATTAAGATCTGATCACGGGGTTTTAATCTGCGGACTAGTTAAAACGGAAATCTAAGAGATGAAATTTTCATCCTTAAGAAAAAATTGTCAATATACGTATACACACAAATATCATTATAACTCGCGTTATTGAATTTTCTCGCAATAAATTTCGATACAGGGAAATAAAGAATTAAATTCCGCATCTGGGAAAGTTAATCCGAACTTAGTTTGAGACCGCGTTCGCGTGTTATAATATTAAGAAAGTACAATTCCTAGCGCTACGAGTATTATTGCGTATATGCGTATACACACAAATATCATTATAACTCGCGTTATTGAATTTTCTCGCAATAAATTTCGATACAGGGAAATAAAGAATTAAATTCCGCATCTGGGAAAGTTAATCCGAACTTAGTTTGAGACCGCGTTCGCGTGTTATAATATTAACAAAGTACAATTCCTAGCGCAACGAGTACACTATTGCTTATATGCAATATAATAATATAATCGAATCATAAACTTACCAATGCAGATCACATCGGACTCTAAGGCACGGCAAATACTATAAATAAGAAAAGAAAACATTATATTAATGTAATATTATATTCAAACAGCAGAGAAAAATAAACATCTATACTTTGTAAAATATGATGCAGCAACATGCGGCGTGAGGGGATGGCAACGACGACACACGGCAATGCGATAAGAAAGTGTGAATTGTGTTCAAAACAAACACAATTCTCGTGTCGAATGCTCTCGCTTGCCGATAAATATAGAAATAAACAATACAAATCTATTTTATGATTTTTGAGTCATGCTAGGGCCATCTATGAATGATACAGGAGTTTCGAAATGTAGATTATTAAAAGTAATTAAAAATTATAATTCGATTTGTGTAATTCTGATTTCTTCTGCTGACAGAGTGCCAGATTTTACATAAAATATATAAGTGATATCTGCTTAAGTGATCTGCTGATAATAAAAATGTTTTGCATTCTTGATGATTTTTATACTAAACTATTAGAATTAATATAAAATTGTTAGTTATATTCATTAAAGAATTGAAGAATATTTACGATGCTAACATAACAAACAGCCACGGTGTGTTTTGATTCCACGAAATAAAGATTCGATACCTGCAGGTAAACAAACTTATCTCGTGCGCGAAATCGCGTGATCGCACACGGACACGATGTGCACTCACTACCACCGACAAACAATATTTAACGCGAAAACGTGCATCGTACTGCCATCTAACCGACTATCTAGTAATGGCAGGTTTAAATTTAAAACACATTTTATCAAATATGTAACAACTTTGTTCTTTTATGAAAATGCCAGTCATAAGCAATTTAATAATGCCTATCAAATCACAATATTTCTAAACGCACTATTAATCATTCACAAAACACAGCAGATGCATGTAACACGTCGATTGATGACCGAATATAATGCAAATGTAGAAAATAGAAGAACAATACGCATTTTATTCAATTGCGAATAGATCGTAAACTAAAAGAGATGGAAAGGAACGAATCGCAGGGTCTTAATCTACGGAAAATTCAATAGGTTCAGGAGATATAGCCGAATTTTCACCGGGTGTTTCGAATTTCCAAAATTCTCTATTCAGTTAAATTTGATGAAATTGTATTTGTGAAATGCATATATGGAAAACTGGAAAGCTATAAAGTTAAAATAAATAAGCTAATAAAATTAAAAGCAAACGCGTGCTGTGAACGCTGCAGCCACACGTAAGTTACCTACAATCTAACGTGACTCGCGATAAGGAAAGACTGATAACCGAATACAATAACAATACCGTAAACAATTCAAGCAATGCAAATGCTACGTGAATACACCGCCGAAAATAATAATTTAAATAGAAACTTACCTTTAAATCAGCCAAAAGGCAGTACGGAAACACATCGGCATGAACCTGGGTTGACAGGATACAACGTAACAAACGAAACTAAAAACGCACGAAAAATAAACAGCCACGAGCAACGCAACTGCACTCACCAACGGCCGACGCCAAACTAATCGCAAGAAATAACCGCTTGGAATTACATCGCGCCGAAGGCGCGCAGCGACATCACGCAGCACAAAGACAAACTTCAAACTGTAAATAAAGTTGCCTATGTACAACACAATGTGCCATCTAGCATACAGTATCAAAAACACCCAATTCACAAAATCAACTGAAAACCTGTAAAACATCACGCAATTTATCAACACCGCACTTACCGCATTTGCATTTGGTGGGTATTTGAGCAATTTCCAGGTTAGAATATTTTTACTCACTGCTGTGCGCCTTGTGCGACTCCACAGCTCCTCGAGCACCACGTCCAACGTGCCCTGGCGAAGGCATTCATCTCAACCACCTCTAGCTTCTGGCCGCACACACCCAGTTCGCTCATTCAAGCACAGACAACATGACGTTGAATCCGCAGTATGAGGCCATCGGCAAAAACTTCGTGCAGGCATACTATTCTATGTTTGACGACCCAACGCAACGGGTTAATCTAGTGAACATGTACAATGTAAGCAAAACATCAACAATTCACAACTAAATCAACTTATTAAACACTAATTCCTGGACATTTATAGGTAGAAAGTTCATTTATGACTTTTGAAGGCACGCAAGTCCAAGGGTCAGTTAAAATTATGGAAAAACTAACTGTAAGTATCACAAAAACCTTTAAAAAACAAAATCTACAACAATTTCTTTTCAGTCATTGTCATTTCAAAAAATAAATAGGATAATCACTGCTGTGGACTCTCAGCCCATGTACGACGGCGGCGTTTTAATCAATGTTTTAGGCCGATTGCAGGTAAACAACTAATTTTAACTTAAAATTCTCCAAAAATCTTTCGAAATGGACGTGAAAAATTGATAATTACCAGCCAGTTCGATTCAATTTTCAATTATTAGTCATTCTCGCATTTAAAGTTGCCTACCTTGAATTCCAATCTAGTTGCTCACAAAATACTGATTGATGTTCGTTGTTCAGACGGACGAAGACATACCTCACGCGTACGTGCAAACGTTCGTGCTCAGCCCGATTGCAGGCAGTTTTTTCGTGCAACACGACACGTTTCGCCTCGTCCTACACGATTCGATTTAGTACGTATCACGCACACGAACTAAACCAACGTTTTCTTTAATTCTCTGACCACGCATGACTTGTTTCGCTTGCATAACAAGTTGCCTACCATTAAATAACCCTATTTGCTTGCCGTTGCTTGGCATTTGCTACTCCTACCGAATATCTAACTAATTCCGGTTGTATTTTTAGGCAGATGAAGATCCACCGCACGCTTATTCGCAAGTGTTCGTCCTGAAGCCGTTGGGCAACTCGTTCTTCGTACAGCACGACATCTTCCGGCTGGGCATTCACAACTCCGCCTAATTAACAAATAGCAAACAACAAAAGAACGAAACAATTGCTACACTCACTTCTATGAATAAGTTGTTTCTGCTTATACACACACACACCTTACACGCAGCCTCACAATTACTTCGGTGTAATCATATTCATAATCTAAAATAAAGAGTTAACTTTTACATTATACGCATGCGTACTAGTATTTTACAGATGTGGTGTGGTGGTAAAAGAAAAGTCGCCATTTTTGAGTTTTAGACAACGAAAACAAAATGGCAGTTTCTTTTATTAACTAGTAGTCTGAAATAAATTAAACCTCGTCGACGCTTACTCTCAATAATCATTTCCCACGCTGTCGGCCATTTTTCAGACCGAAACCGCGCAGGGTTTTCATCGCCATGGCTTTGTTAAAATGGCGTTGTACTTTTTGCCCCTCATGACTACCACCGCCATCTGTCGGCGCACCCAACGGCTCCACATTGGTGACAATCACCATGAGTACAATAACGACGAGACACATTATAATTACCAGCGTGTAGAAGTGCACAGCGTCCGCTGGTAGTGCTTCCATTTCTTTCAGCGCCGCTACAGCCAACTCCAGATCCGGCTTCAACTCGAGCGTGTGTCGAAGATGTGCCGCCGCATCTTGGTAATGGCCGTACGTTTTGAAGATCTCACCGAGCGTGAAATAATGCTGCCAGGCGGCTTTGTCAGTCGGTTGCACCTCGAGGGAACGCCGCGTGAGGAAAATGGCGTCGTCTAAGTACTGCAGCGTGAAGAGCACGCGCGCCAGGTTAAGGAGCACGTCGGCTGCGTGCGGCGATACCGAAAGCGCACGACGGAAGCACTCGATCGAGCGTTGTGTGTCACCCTTGTAGTGCCAATAGTTGCCTATCTGATTATACAGATTTACAGACTTTGCTTTCTTGTAAGACTAAAAATATTTCAATATAAGTTATTTTCAAACAAATATTATGTGTTTATGAATGTAATTTACCTCTCGTTTGGCTTTTTTAAGCTTTTTCTCGAGTGCATCAAGGTCAAAATCGCCTTTCATGTTGAGTTTTTTGTACTTGCTGAAAATCAACCCGGCTTGATGTTCGGAGATCTTCGGGTGGCGATGACGATTAGATATACCGACTAGATTGTCATAATATGTGAAGTTGACAGATTTACCGCAGTCCAATTCAACTTCGGCTTCCATCGTGAAACTGTTTCGGTTCCTCATTGACGTTCCGCTTATATTACTGAAGAAGAAAATTCAAAATGACATTTGACATGTGTAACACATAGGCAACCCAGTATACACAAAATAAACAAATACTTACAAAATACTAAAGTCATCAAAAAAATAAAATTTAATAAATATAAATAAAAATATACTAAAATACAAGATAAATATTTATTTATTTATTTACTCACAATGTGCAATCCGAACAGCAATCCTCAATGTGTCTCTTCAACCAAACATCACCCTCGAAATGAACTGTAGACGCAATGATACCGAATACCGTATCACTGACTGGATCATACTCTCTTTTATTACCCATCTGCATCGCCAATGCATCTTCACCGTGTGAATTCACTTGTGCATTGATGATTTTCGTCTGGTCGGCGCTCAGCCGCCACAGCGTCGATGTTCGTGTGCCGCTCAGCACACATTCGAAGCACAACAGCCACAGCAACTCCCGCATACTGGCCACACGTGTTTTTATTGATAATTATTGCTTTCTCTGCAGCGCAATCAATCGCAACACCATCGCACTGCGTCGGATGTTTCGAGGTTATGCGTTGACTTTGTTACATAAACAACTTTTGTTTTTCTGTTTTCGTCGCGCGCACACGTCGACCGCAGTCGATAGCAAACGATTGCAAATTTCGTCGGACGATGTGTGTGGAAATTATCGCACTTGATAACAATGCCGACGTGAGATTGGGAGTGTGTGTCGCGTCAAGGCGCTGTTTATTTTTGTTTGCGGAAGATTCGACAGTCGACACTCACGCACACGGAGAAATGAGAAACACATGGTTGGATTATTGATAAATTTCAACGTGAAGGCTTTTAGTTATAAGCTTAAATTTTAAACGTGTTGACATCGGGGATATAGCTCAGTGGTAGAGCATTCGACTGCAGATCGAGAGGTCCCCGGTTCAAACCCGGGTGTCCCCTAATTTTTAAATTATTTTTATTGTTTTTTCACATAAATAAACAACATATAACACAATATTCACACATTTTTATTGATATTTATTAGTTTTACACATGTAGACATCAAAATACTTAAGAAAATCGTATTAATTACCACAAATATTTTATGAATGTATGATAGGCAACTTATTTATCACTTTGTGCAGATTCCTATTTACCTAATGACTATATATGAAGTTTTTAGTTAATAATATTAAGAAAACAGTGTAAATATTTACATATTAGTGTTGTTTAGGTGTAAAACACTTAAAAAATTACGCTTTTAATATTAACGAGCATTTAAACAACAAAACTTTACAAAAAGCAATGCTAGTTCTCCTTTAGACCCGCCATTTTGATTATCTCCGGTGTTTTTCGGTGTATCCTAGTCCTTTGGGTCGTCTTTCTCACGTTTAATCACTGCAGCCAACCAGCAAGCCAAGACAATTCCAACAATCTACAAAAAACAAATTTAACAACAAGTTTACAACGAAAATAAAAATTTAAATTTATAAAGATTCTCAATGAAATTATCTTCCTAATGATGTCTTCCTTGAAATTTTCTGATTCAAAATGGCTGAGTTATAACGTTTCGAAGTTTACCTATCAAATTTATTCGATTTATTCCGATGAAAACGCTGTTTAAAGTGTCATTAGCGTAAACACTGTTCTAGTTGCCCGATAAAATCTATTCCACTAAGCTGCATGTCATGTCCGTGCACAAAATAAACGCCAATCAATAATGTACTAACAAGTCGTCGAAATAAACAACAAAACAAACAGAAAAACCTCCAAGAATTACCCAGAAATAGACATCACAATACATTCCAGAATATTTTTACTAAAACCGCATGAAAATGAAAATTTAATTAAATTTTATAGGTTATGTAGAGTAGGCAACTTTACGTGTCTATAATGTCTGAATCGCATGTCACGCGTGAAACTACTTTCGATTATCATTATTTCTATTTTTCTAGGCGTGGAATGCACTGGAATTATAGTGTCACAAGTAAAAACGACACAAAATGGCCGCCTGCAACTACACTAACCTAAAAAATAACGAGGGCAATACAATACACACGATAACTGGATACAATGTAAACAAACGGCGGTCAACGCTTGAAAAACATCCCACACGCGTCCATTCCACGCCCGTTGGGCATTGATTAATTGACACGCGGCAGTCAACAGACACGATTTTCCAAACAAGCGCGGATAATCGTTAATATTGTTTGTATGTTGGGTGATATACAGTGGTTATGTTCGATAATGAGTCAGCCATGTTATTCTATGAATTGTATGTGTAACTTACTTCGACGAACGCCAGACCGATGCCAATACCCATTAGAATCTTCTTTCCCTTCTCGAAGTTCATTTTGGTCGCCTCGAAGCAGCCGGTGGAGTAGACATAAGTCATACTGCTGTCTAGACTGGTGCAGCGTGCGTCTTGCCCGCCAGTGCCTTGCTGGACGTTGGTGCAGCAACTTTTTGGGTGGTTACCGCCCCAATCGGAGTAGCCATCGACACCACAACATTGTAACTAAATTATAACCAATGATATTTAAGTAATAAACATGTTTAGACAAGTGGCGACATCTACAGTGGTTAATTTTAACTATTAGCACTTTTATAATCCCTACTAATATTATAAATGCGAATGTTCTGATGTTTGTTACACTTTCACGCAAAAACTACTTAACAGATCATCATGAAAATTTCTACACATATTCTTAGTGGTCCCCGAATGGTTATAGGCTACTTTTTATTTAATAAAAATAATTATTTTTGAAATAAAATAAAGAAATAGTTTAGCCAATAATACCTCTGCATCTGGCTATTTGACTACTTTAACGCCATCTAGCATTCCAGCAATGAAGCTCAAACCTAAGTACTATAGTACCATCACACTGTATTATCACACTGTATTACCGACAGCTACGTCAACATCAAATCCAATTGACTACACTATGGAGACTGTACACTATACTTCCATAGACTATACTTTCAGCCATTTTAAACTTCCAGCCATTCTACTTCATTGTTACTTCTTCTGTGACTACAGACGCGTACGGAAGCAACTTCATTATTTTAGATATTCGCGAGCGAAGCCAAGGGTTAAAGCTATAGTCTATAATTTTAAGTTATGCAACTCAATTTGCAGCTTATAATAGCTTAGAAATAGATTTTAAAACAAATAATTGTAGAAATTTGAAGAAATATTTGTGAAATTTACAATTTTAAACTAAAAATCAAGTTTTATGGTTTTTTCCGCCATTTTAATAGCTCAGAAAGCAATTCAAGTATTCCTGATATATTACCCTAACGCCCTCTATTTTTTTTGTAATTTAAGCTGAATTAGATATTCGCGAGCGAAGCAAGTGCGGTATATATGGTTGCATATAACAAAATTGTATTTAATGAAGTTTTTGACATGTAGTGACATTTAAAGTGGTAAAATTTATGTTTTACTAATACGGTTCTGTATATGTGGTTGCATATATTACGATTTTATAAGGTTCATGTTGAGTTTGAACGTGTTTGAAGATTATGATCATATTTTTAACCTTTAACCTTCAACTTGTTATAGCTGGTGAATTTTTTGTATTGATTTTGACCACTTTCAGTTGAAGGTTAAATATGACGATTGCTCACCAAGGTTTGAATCGAGTCCAATTTGGCTCTGTCCGTCTCACTGTTGAGATTCCTGTTGAAATGTTCCCGAAATGATTCCTGATTCAATTGATCCTTGTTGACGGCGACTGCGATGCCGATCGCCAGCTCGACGATGAAGATGATTAGCAAGAAAACGGCGAACTGTTTTTTTTTTTTTTTTTGCTTTTTTAGTAAAAATTTGTTTTTATATTGAAAAAGTTTTTGTTTACCGTCATTAACATCCCATACGATTCCCGGATAGCACCAAAACAGCCCAAAAAAGCAATCACGAAGATGACAATGCCGGCGACAATCAGGATAATAGACGGGACGTATCGGACGTCATTGTCGGTGATCTCGATGGCGCTCATGGACGCATGAAGGACAATTCCACCAAAAGCAATCAGAAGAATACCGGTTATCTGTGAAAATGTGCAAAAAACATAGAAAAAGAAGGAAAATTATTGTTTTTTTGGTTATTTTTAGGTTAGGTTTGGGTTTAGGTTCAGTTAGGTTATGTATTAGAAGCATGCAGGTTAATTTTACTTAAAAAAATAAAAAAATACCGGTTATCTATGAAAATAACACAAAAAAACTTACAAAAACTAAAAAATTCAATATTTTAATCAATTTTGAGGTTATATTAGTATTTAGATTAAAATAGGTTATGTATTAGGAGCATATAGAAAAATTCCACCGAAAACAATTAAAAAATACCGGTTATTTCTGAAAATACCTCAAAAAACACAAAAAACAAACCAAATTAAATAAATTTTATTATATTGTTAGGTTATGTTGGTATTCAAGTAGAATTGGGTTAAGTATTAGAAGCAGGTGGCTCTAGGCGTGTACGGATCACAAACGAAGTATCTTAAATGGCTGCAGTTGTGGATAAAACCGGTATCGGGAGCGTCACAGGCATAACGTCCATCCAGGGTCACGTGTTCAGGATAACACCTCGGCGGATAGGTCCAGATGGTTGGTGCTTTTATAAAAAGGCCAGGCTCACAAGTGTAGCCATTTTTGCCTGGGTTAAAGGCCGCCATCTTATTTTTCTTTGTTTCAAGATACGTATAATAAGATATTAATAGAAAATATGATAATTGATGAAATTGGAGCTATTTGTCACAGAAAATTTAGTAAAGGATTGAATTTTGACAATTTTTAGTGTGAAATGTCAGGTTAGGACAGCCGCCATTAAAAACAATTGAATTTTGCTAAAATTTGTTGTAGTTAGAGATGTAAAATGTAAAATACCGGTATTAATATCGATATACCGGTATTTTTATTTTCAAATACCGGTATTTTTCTATTTGATCTATTTAATAAATTTACCAATATTTTGATTTAAAAAAATACCGGTTTTTCAAGAAAAACTTTCGACAAAAATGAAAAAATATCGAAAAAAACTAAATTTTTCGAATAATTAAAACACCGGTATACCGATTCAATACCGATACCAAAATACCGGTATTGCACTTATATTCACATCTACAGTCTAATATTGCACAACATTTATAATCACTTACCAAATAATAATAAAAAATGATAAAAACTAAATTTATACACAAAAAAATCAAATTTCCTATAAAAACAAATAAAAAACCTCAAAAATTATAAAAACCGGTTCAGCCATTATTAAATTACACATAAAACAAACACCAACGATGAATTTTACTTACACAGAATATAATATTGAAGGCAAAAAGCAGATATTTCACAAAACTCATTCCACACGACTGCATTTTGACGCTGTTATCTGTTTCCACAATAAAATAACCACAAATACAATTGTCAATTAATAAATTTTTAAACCCGAATAATAAATTGCGTGTGGGTCAGCGTCAGCCGGAAGTCGCGACGTGAATTGCGCGCCAGACAAAGTTTCACCCCTAAACTACCCTTAAACGACCACAACTCCAACCCCCGCCACACTAACAACACAAAAGACCACAAATTGTCGTCATAACAACAGTTCTACTCTATCACAAAACAAAACAATTCCACACATATAAAAATAAAGAGAAAACATATAAAAAAATATAATAAATTAATATTACCCCTGATTATTTATTAATTATTATTATTTTTATCAAATTTTTAATTTTTAACATTTTTTCATTTTGGAATAATCATACGGATATGATTTCTTCTTATACAGCTCCAAAACGGTGTTTTCCAGCGTCTGTCGTGGATGATACATGGCATTCTTCGCCGGAAATGAGAAAGAACCTTGTTTTAGCGGACATCTTTTATCCCTTTCTTCCGGTTTTGGTTTTTCATTGATTTCTTGAGTCATTTGGACGAAAAAATCATGAAAACCATTTTGTTTCAATTTATTTTCATTTCGTTTATCATTTTCAACATCTTCATCTTCTTCATCATCGTCGGCCATGTTTTCCGGTTGGCGTATTTTAGTAGATTTATGTCTATCACAATCAATCATACAGAAAATCGGCGGTAAAGCAATGCAAGTACCGTAGATCAATTGAGGTTGGAAACAAAATGGCAGACAATCGGCGCCATCTTGCACGACGCCATCTTGACCCTCAACATTACACTCCGCCATATTTATTTACTAGAATTTAATGTTTTTATATTTTATTTATGATTTTATGAATTTTTTCCGAAAAAATAATTAAAATGACATGATTAATGAATAAAAATTTTATCAACTGTCAAAATTAGTAACCTGTCAAACCACATTCAACAATTTTCGCATCCTTAAAATTTAAAAGTATTCCCGCGATAATATTCCTCAAAATAAAAAATTTCTTGCATTTACGCTCCGCCCACTTTTACTTATTTCAAGATGGCGTCAATATGGAACCGTGCACAAAGCCGTTCGAACATCCACGAATTCCAAGACCCCGAAATGAGTGAAATGCCGCGTATACAACCAGTGCAAAATGGCCGCTTTTTCTCCTGGCAGCGTTTAATGGACGCCCAAACCACGGAAAAAGAATATTTCCGCGTGGAGGAGACACGCCCCTCGTATACGATGTTCAGCACGCATAGCCTGGCGGATGTGACGCATCTACGCCCCGTTACTCCGTTATTTCCATTGGAAGAGAAGAGGAATAGGTTGGAACGCTCCGCCTCGATGCAAGCCACGCCTCTGCCACCTGCCACGCCCTCGGAGGATACTTCCAGGTTTGAGGATATGCAGAAACGGCGGCAGAAATGGGTGTACAAGTACAATATTTAATATTTCGACATTTTTACGTGATAGGTTCAAAAATATCAATTTTTTTATTAAATGATTATTAATTAATTATGAGTAATTAATTAATGGCGGTTTGAATAACTGGAAAAACCAGGATCTGTGCAACTTCTCCCGTCCATGGTGAACATCCAGTGACCTGCTAATTTTTTATAAGGTGGTTTATCATCCGCCATTTTGTTATTTTGTTCACTGTCAGAGTGGATTTCATCCTGTGAGTTTTGTTTGGTTGGATTTTCTTGTATTTGGGTTTCATTAGGATTAAATTGAGTATCAGCCCGCCCTAGTTTAAAAAAAGTGGGCGGGACTGCTATAAATGTACCATACACGTAAATGGGGCGTAGACAAATCATGTGTGTGATTCGTTCGTGGTCACTGAGGGCGGTAGGCGGGGCATCTTCAGCGAAACAATGATGTTTTTCAGTGTTAGACATGTTTTTTCTAAATTTTCTTTTTTGGAAAATGATTTTATAATGAAAATGATTTTAGTTTACAAAAATTTTAAATGAAATTAAATAAAATGTCAAAAATTTTGATTTGATGTCAAATGTCAAGTGTCAAAATATTTTTTTCTTTTCATTTGAATGATTTTTTTATTTTTGAAAATGAGGACATCACTTCTTAAAATCCAATAGCGACCGGAAGTGGATGATACAAACATAGCACACATTAGACATTTTACTACCCCGTTCACAAAAGGGCTGATGAATTGCCGGCGAAGTAGGACAAAGTCCGCGTGAACCCTCTTCTATCAATGCGCGCAATATGCGCAACCTTATATTATCTATCCATCGTGTTTTTCGTATTTTCAACCCTTCACAACCACCCATAACCACGCTTAGCACTATTTTCAGCATTATCACTCTTTTATTCACTTCACACTGCTTTTAGATTGATGTACACACACAAATACTCGTCATAAACATGATATAAACATGAAATTACGAAAATATACAACGTGTCCAAAGGAAATTGAGGAAAAAATTTAAAAGTGAAGCCTAGACAAGGGAACTGTGACGTTATAACGAGGAAATTAATATATAACTTCAAAGATAGGTGAAATACCGGTATTAAAATCGGTTAACCGGTATTTTTTCAAATTATAATATTTTGCAATACCGGTATACCGATATCTATACTAAAATATTTTAAAAAAATTTGAGTTCAATACCGGTATTTCGGTATACCGGTATTTTTTTTTAAATTCAAAATACCGGTATTTTTTATTCAAAATACCGGTTTTTTTATATAGTACAGAAAACTATAGGAATTTGAAATTTAAAAAAAATACCGGTATTGATAATTTAAAAAATACCGGTATTTTCCCTATATATTTCCATATTTCTCCGTTATACAGGGTGTATTTTTAAATCAAGCATCAATAAAAAAAGCTACACTATAAATAAACGTATAATAACACATAACAAGTTCATATTTTCCTATGAAACACAAAATACCGATTAAATAAATCGTTATTTCCGTTCAAGTTGCCCGGAATTCCAATGAATTATGAACGATGAATAAATTCAAACAAAAAACATTCAATCAACGTGAAAACCGTGAAAATGTTCACGATAATAAAAGCGAATTCATCATAGAAAGCGATTTTAATTAATTTTTATAATAGTGTTGTGTATATTGTATGCGTTTACATTAATTAATTAATTAAACTAATTACTTTTCATATCCTAATGAGTTTTTTAAAATTATTACAACATTTGATAAATTTTTTCCCAGTAATTCGTAACATTCAATATAATTTTCATGTTTATATGTTTATATGTTAATATGTTAATATAACTATCGATATAATGGATACTTTACTACGATATAGGTTATGTTAGGTTATGTAATGTTCTAGCAATATTATTCGCTGCGATTTTTGATGACTGACGCCAGCCAGCATGCGAGTATTATTCCAACCAACTAAAAACAAAATTACCATAGAGTCATTAATAACCTTTTTTAATTCTGCGTGTGTTATATTAACTAAAGTGCGATTCACACCCTCTAGTTCTACTGCGTGACGAAGCGTTAGTGAGTATAATTTCCCTAGGGTGCAATATTGGTTGCCTACGTTAACACAAGTGTGTTTACTCATGCGGTATGGTAATACATGCAGATGATTTTTAGGTTACCTGTAAGAATGCGATGCCCAAACCGACGCCAATCAGTATTTTCGCGTTGCTGTCGGCTTTCATCTGCAGCTTGTCGAAGCACCCATCGGAGTAGAGTATCTCATCACCAGCCGACGCACTCTGGCAGTGGAAATCTTCCGGCGGATCGACATTATCACGGATTGCATGGCAACATGTGTACGGACGACGTTTTTCAGGCCAGTCTGTCGGTGCCTCCACTCCGCAACACTCCAACTACAATAATAGACAACTGTAATGCTAGTATAATAAAAATAAATGAATATAGATGGCAGTACTTACTTTGGTTTGTATCTTATCCCATGCAAGACGATCAGTTTTACTCTCGTGATATTTCCCCATTGATGAACGTAGAGAGTCCTTGAGAATCATTTGAAAGTCACTTTTGTAGACAGCTGCGGCGATACCCACCGCCAATTCAACGATGAAGATGATTAATAAAAACACAGCAAACTGTCGAGTATAAAGTGTGAAGTGAAAGTTAGTTTGACACTGGTGAGTTTACTATAGGCAACCAAACTCACAGCAATGAGAAGGTAGTAATTCTCTCGGATGGCTCCGTAACAACCGAGGAACGCGACGATGAAAATGATCGCGCCTGCGACTATCAAGACAATAGGTGGCGCTATTATTCGACTTTCCATGAAATGCGAGTATTCAGCGACATCTGCCAGGACAATTGACCCAGCCACAACTAAACCAATGCCAGAGATCTATAAAAATTTATTTAAACTTTTTTGTTGATAAAAATATCGTAAATATACTCACGGCAAAAACTAAATTAAAAATAAATAATAAGTATTTAACCATGTTTGGGGTGCAACCCTTCATGATGGTTAATTTCACTTTAATTGTTGTTAGTTTTATTGAAGATTTGTGAAGAGTTTAAGTTTGACTTGTTGTCTGTCCGAGTGTTGAGCGTTAACTGACCGCTCGATTTTCTTTCGCTTGACTTTCCCTCAGAGTTTTCTCAGAGAGTTTCCATCGATTGCGCAAAACATTTCGCGCAACGCAACCCAACAAGCACATGTTTGTTACCTGGGTTACTATGGCAACATACAATGATCATTGGTATTGTCGTTTTTGAAATTTTTGTTAAAATGTCTTAAAAAGTTATGAAACGTGGAGAAATGTTAAAATTTTTTGTTTTATAAAATTTTTATTTTTTAAATTTTCTTTTGTGAAGGCGACAATTCTTTTTTTATTCTCGAGTATTTCTATGAATATATTTGGGGAATGTTAATAAGCGGGTTGAATGTTCGCAGTGGGCGAGTGACAGTGTAAATGTAAATGTCATTATCCTTTGTGGCTGTAGACTATTCTTTGATTTTCCCCACGTTTGGTTGTATTTTGTTTTCCTAGTACAAGCGGCGATCGCGTGATGCGGGAATAATTATATTCGTCCACGGTCAGACCGGAGAGCTCAATAAAATTCGCCTTCGACGGCGTTTTTATTTTTTCATTTTTGCATTGCGCTAGATTTCCGAGTAGTTTAACGACGGGTGAAACAAAAAATGGAACAGAAATGAATCAGTAATCAACTGAAAGGACTAAAAAACGTGTAATACTTGCACATAAGGTAAATAACAAAAGAATAACAAATGAAATGAGTGGAAAATGGGAAAGAGTGTAATTTTTCACTTTGAGTGCAGAAATTTTCTAGATTTAAAGGGAACTTTCGGTGTTTTGTTGTAAAATAAGAAAATATGTTTAATTCTGAATAGTTTATATAAATAAAAATATTAAATATCATAAAAATTGTTAATAATATTAACAAAAACAAAAAAATTTTTGGAAAAATGAAATTGTTTAGTTTTTTGTTAATAACTTTTGTAATTTATATTTGATTTGGATAAAACTTAAAATATATATAAACAAGAACATGTTTTATAATATTCCGTTAAAATTTTTTAAATATTTTTTGTAATATTTGATTTACAAGCGTTTAAATCAATGCTACTTTAGAAAATAACAAATAAAACACGACACAAACTTATTTTTCACTTTGATTGCAGAATTCTTCCAGATTTAAACACATTTCTGAATATTTTGTCGTAAAATAATAAAATATATTTAATTTTGAATATTTTACAAAAACAAAAATATAAAAAACTTGAAAATTTAATAAAAATATCATAAAAAGAAAAAAAATTACCTTAAACTGTAATTGTTTATTTTTTTATTTATAATTCATGTAATTTTCATCCGATTTTAATAAAATTTTAAATATAAACAAACAAAAACCTACTTTATAACCTACAATCAAAACATTTATAATAATTTCTCCAGTAATTAATTTACAAGCGATTAAATCCCAATCTACTCTTGAAAATTTAACCTCCAACCTTATATATTAAACTATCCGTGTTCATCGATTAAGAATGTAGCCAAACACAGAATAAACCAACAAAAGAACAATTTGTTATTTCTATAATTAATATGTGAAATTGGATCGATTCCTAAATGGTTATTAGCATGTATTATTACAGTCATTACACTTGTTTGTTAAGCACATCTTTCTCACGTTCATCAATACGAATACGAGTACATCAATACTACAAAAAATATGTCCTGATCTAGATTCATAATAAGATATAATTTACAGAAAAACAGAAGATGAAAAAAACATCCACAAGGTGGCGTATTCGTAGTAGTAAATAAATCTGAAGTTTTATGCATTGTTTTATGCCTTAGACGATGAGTAATGCTCGATATTTTTAGCTCGTGATGTAAAACAGTAATTCGCACGTTAGGGTGAATTTACCATGAATATTTTATGACTTTCTTTGTCGATACAAAGCTTTTGAGTATTTTAGGTTAATAGAAACGTCAAATGTCATTTGTGATGTGTCAAAAATGTCAAAAATGTTATATGTTGAATATGTCATGTGTTAAACCTGTCAAAAACGTCAAATGTCATATGTTTAATGTCAAAAATGTCAAAAATGTAAAATGTTGAATATGTCATACGTTAAACATATCAAAAATGTCAAATGTCATTTGTGAAGTGTCAAAAATGTCAAAAATGTTAAATGTTGAATATGTCAAACGTTAAACCTGTCAGAAATGTCAAATGTCATATGTGAAATGTCAAAAATGTCAAAAATCTTAAAAATGTTAGAAAACGTCAAAAAATGTTCTTTTTTAGGTTAGATTTGATCTGATGTGATTAAATTTGTAATAAGTTTATGATTTGTTTTGTACCTTTTCGATTCCGTATTAGATTGTAGAAATTGCGCGGCGCGTGCAAATCTAAAATCGATATCAGCCAAGCCGGGCCGAAAAGAAACGTTAATTGTGCGCCGTTGACCTGGTCAAGTTTCACCTTTCACCTCTTACCTTTTTCCAGACACGGAAAGTTTTTGCAATCAATGCTTTTTAGTGTTTCAGTGTTTAATGTTTACATTTTGAAATATTAATAAGAAAAAGGTTATAAAATTACTATTCTAATAATTTTTATAACATTTTATTATTTATTACTTAAGATATTAAAAAAGAATAACGTAAAAATAACAAAAAATTAAGAATTCAAAGAAATAAAAATAAAAAAAAAACAATTTTAAGTTTTAACGACGGTAAAATCCAAGAGTGATAACAAAACTGGTGATAACAGTAAGAAACAGCGATGGCGACACGTTTAATCCACGATTGACTCTAAACAACAAACAAAACAATAATAAATAAGTAATAATTACATACAAAAGGTGAAATTAAATCAAAAAATGTTACATATAGGTTAGGTTCAGTTGGAAAAACAAAAGCGATAAGGAAATTACCATTATTATGTAAAAACAGTAATAATACAATGAAAAAATTAAAGTATGGTAATAATTATAAACAATTTAACGTAAGCAACACTTAAAATGATTGTTTTTGTGTTTTCTTGGTAATTTTGTTAGGTTAAGTGTCAAAAACAATCAAAATATTATTTTTTTGTAAATATTATCAATATTACGTTGAAAAAACTAAAATTTTATGGAAATTATAAACAATTTAAGCTAAAAAACACCTTAAATCATAATTTTAAAGGTTTTCTTGGTAATTTTATTAGTTTTAGTATCAAAAAAATGTCAAAATATTGTTTATCCTTTGATATCTTTAATATTACGTAGAAAAAAACTAATATTTTAAATATTATAAACAATTTAAGGTAAAAACAAGCAAATTTATTGTTTTTTAGTGTTTTCCTCCTAACTTCAAAAGTTTTACTGCCAAAAATTGTCAAAATATTATTTTCCGATCAATATCCTTAATATTCCATTGAAAAAATCAACATTTTGTTAAAATTATAAACAATTCGACGCAAAAACACTTAAAATTATTATTTTTTAAAGTTTTATTTGTGATTTTATCAGTTTTAAGACCAAAAACTGTCAAAATATCATTTTTGTCATAAATTACAGTGCAAAACTAAAGTTTAGTAAAAATTATAAACAATTCAAAGCAAAAATACTTCAAATAATTATTTTTAATGTTTTCTTGGGTAGTTTGATAAGTTTTACTGTCAAAAACTGTCAAAATATTATTTTGCCAATGATATCTTTAATATGACGAAGAAAAAACTAAAATTTTGTAAAAATTATAAACAATTCAATGTAAAAACACTTAAAATTATTATTTTTTAGTGTTTTATTTGTGATTTTATCAGTTTTAAGACCAAAACCTGTCAAAATTTCAATTCTCTCATAAATTACGTTGAAAAAACTAAAATTTAATAAAAATTATAAACAATTCAACGTAAAAACACTCAAAAACAATAATTTTCCAAAGTTTTATTCATAATTTCATCAATTTTAACCCCTAAAACACTCCAAACATTATTCCCCCTTAAAATATCCGACAACAGCGTAATAACTTCTCATAATACAGTTTATTCAAACCACAAAACATACACACCCCACTAAATACATGATAGCAAACAGAAAAATAAACATGGCGTGTGTAACATGTAACAAACAAATAACGTATACTTTTATTTCCAGTTAATTTCAGCCAAGGAAGATGTCATGATAGGTTATGTTAGGTTAAAATAGAGATAATCTTAGGAGATATTTACAATCGGCCAATGATGCCGCATGCCACACGTCCACCAGCGTGTCCAGTGGTGAGTGAATCATCATGACCACCAAGACCGTAGTCATCCTCGCCCTCATGCACTACAATAGCGCGGCCGATGATGTTATTGTCACCCTCAAGGTCAATAACGTGGTCTGTCAGGGAGATAGTGGCGACACCTTTGTCGTCAGCTTCAATGTTGCCGAGATCTCCAACGTGGCGTTCGGTAGCGTCACGGGCGCCATGATTTTTCTATTTTTTTAAATAAAATATTATGTTTTAATTAATATGTGATTATTTTTTGAATTAATTACTTTTAACGGATTGAAATGTCCGCCGGTGGTGGCGCAGCCGTTGCTGAGATCACCGAATTGATGCACGTGAAAACCGTGTTTCCCCGGTGTTAAACCAGTGACATTGCCCTCAACAACGACACCTTTGTCGGTTTTCGTGAACTTTACAACGCCTTTCACTTTCTCGCCGCTCAGCGTCACAGTAGCTTGATGCTAAAGATAAAATTAATATATGCAACCCAATATACACCTACATTACAACTACATATATTAGATTAACTAACCTCAGCATAGACGCAAACCACGAAACACAACGCGAAAAAACTTAACCGCAACATTTTAACTGTAACAGAATTAATTCATTAATTGAAATTAAATGATATACACGTAAGTATAAATAAATTAATACTTATAAGTCGGTCAAGGAGATTAATTGACTTGACTTTAACTTTAACTTACAATATCTTTAACACTTGTTTTCTCTTCGAAGCACGTTGATGTAATGTTTGGCGTTAGCTCTGCGCACTCGCTTTATATAAACATGGCGGCGTAATAATCAACACATACATATGCAATACCGGTTTTGAACTACGCCGGTGTAATAACTGGTTTATCTGTGCAACGTCTCAGATGTCAGACACAATGAGATTTAATCATAATCTGCAATTCTTCACTTAATTCAAGTGATTCACGCGTTCATCTCACATCACAATATAAATACATGCGTAAATCTAATATAGGCAACCCAATACACACATAATAACCTATTTTATTGAATATTTTAATGATTACGGTGATAATTATGCGAATTTAAGTAAAAGGTCACCTTAAACTGGAATTTCTGCAGAAATTTGTGTCACTTGCGACATATTACATTAAATTATACAAATTTCAAGCGTTTTACGCGTGTATTTGTGACATACCTTTCGATTTGTAGTACAAACAACAAAATAGTCTATTAAAGTCACACTTAATCACTTGTAGCACAATATATCACCGTAGAAACACTAAATCTTGTGATTTTTTCGATGTTTTCACTTTGCAAACAATGCAATGACTGATTTTTGTAATCGCAAGCCGTGCGCTTTTTATTAAACTCGACCCAGCACTCCAGATTGTTGTAAAACCTTGTTCAAGTCATATGCTGCGATAATTTCAATGCCAAAGTGTACATAACACAATTACACACGTGAATAACATCTACTAACATTCCTAGACTGTTTTATCACTAAATCTAGGCGAAAATGTAAAAAAAACGTGAAAATTTACATTATTTCATCGTGATATACACTTGAGACGTGGTAATTTGGCCCAATTTATTATCACAATGATGATTTAAGTGTCAACAACTTTTGTTTCCTCTGGAAGATTCCGTTGTGATCAAATACCGCCGTAAAACCTCATAAACATGATCTATCTCAACAAAAATAAACTAAACTATGAATAATGATGACTCCGATGCGATAGTCAAGTGGAAAACAAATTGTTAAAACTGTTTACGATGTAAAGTAAGTGATCATGACCTTGGACGAACGGAAAATCGTAATTATTCACTTTAATCCGGCGTATTGCACATTATGCAATGTAATGTGATCAACATGTATGGGAAAATCAGTGATTGTGGCTGCAGACATTGATTTTTAATGATTTTTAATGATTTTTAATGCGTTTTAGCGGTTTTATTAATGAAATGCGTAAAAAGCAGGTTTCTAGTGCAAGGTCGTTTAAATACGATTAATGAATCACGTATTAAGAAATTATGTTGATTAGTATTTAATAATATTAATAAATCGGTAGTAAAATTATGTTTTTGGTGAATTTAGAGCGATATTTATTGTTTTTTGATGTTTTATGCGTGGTTTTAGCTGTTTTAAGGCCTAAAATTAATAAAATAATATTTTTTCGTTAATATTGTTAGTTTAACTTCAAAAAAATTAAATTTTAATGAAAATTATGAAGAATTTGACGTAAAAATCTATGTTTTAGTTGAATTTATAACGATATACGTTGAAATATAAATAAATAAACGTGAAATGATAAAATTTAAGGTTGATTTGATTACAACGCATCTTGAAAAGTAAAAAATCAGTCGAAATATTTACAAAACAACGTTGAGAATGATATTGCTGAGTATTTTTAGTTAAAAAGTGCATGGCAGCGCCATCTGTGGACATTTACGAAAGTACTACAGATGACAGGCTTGTTGTGTGATGTGAGTGTACACTGCGTGCACGCGTCAAGGTCATAGAAACAAATGTGAACACTTTGTTGCTTAGAATACCCACTAGAGGACGCTAGTATGTACTTTTCATGTTAAAATAACGCATTTAACTTATTTTCCCATCACTTTCTTAATAAATATTATTTTTGAATAAAAAGCGCCCCAAAAATTATTTAAACTTAGATTTTATTCGTGCTTCCATAAAAATTCGCACTTCTCCCGCTTCAAAATAATATTCCTTATATATAAATATCAAAAAAACTAATCTCTCAGATCATTCGACTTGATTCACCCTCATTATCACATTTGCACATCCAAATATCATAAATATACGCTACACGTTGAGCAAAAATGGCCGCTCACGCACTCATAACCTAACTTACGCACCCTACACTACGATATGTACAAAAATACAATTAGGCCTTTACATTGCGTATTATTAGCATAAAACAAGGCATAAAAGAGAATTTTAGCTGTGAGTAATCATCTGGTAGCGCCCGGGGGGAATAAACTCTCATAAGATGGCGGCATATCTTTATCCTCCGGTGTAGGTGCACTTGGAACGGCCGGAGTGTGTAAATTCACAGTTTCAGCCACAGAGGGCGCAACCTGTGCATTGGTCTGCGCTGGTGGTGGCCTAATATTCGGCGGCGGACGTGAGAATTCCTCAGACCAACAAAACTTACCATATTTTCGGCAACTATACAGGCAAAGTACAAAAACAATGAATGATACAACCAAACTAGTCGCAGATCCAATCAAAATGTGACTTCCAATCGTCAATGGTTTATCCACATCGATGGGTTTCAACATTTTACAACCGCCTTCATCCAGACAGTCGTAATACGGACAGTTGACAACGCCATCTTGGAAGAACGCTTCGTAGATACATTTACTCTTGTCAAAATCGCAACTTTTATAACCAGAATTCCGGCAGTGTTTATAACCAGTAAACGCAAGAGTAAAATCAGTGTGTTCACCACGCTCCAATGGTTTGCTATCAATATAGATATAAACCGTTAAAAGTCCATATGGATCATCAAATGTCAAAAATGACACTTCATCATGGTAGCCGAATAAATCCGGCGCATCTGATTCGTCGGAGTCTTCATCCGAGCTGTCAAATTTACCGTCCATTGCGTACTGCGCATTGAGATCACCACATAACCTCAACGATGTGCGCCCACGACTGTCTTTGAACTGAATGTAATCAATACACTCATGTGTGATTGCATCCCGGCGCAGATTCATGCTCTGCACCACGGCGAATATACCAACTGGTTCATCTAGCAGTGATGAAATGATTCCTCGGCTTTTAATGTCGAATGAACACTTGTAGTCTTTGTTCCATTCTATTGTGTGGTCGGATAATCTTCTTTGTGTGATGAGTACTGATGAGTCTGTGCCGGAGCCGAGTTTTATCGTTCGTTTACTCACGGATGAACACACGCTGGGGTTTTCTACGGTATCTACAATAAATATATGAGTATTTTTTTTGTGTGTAAATATAACCTAGAAGCTTACAGTTTTTGTACGCCCAGAGCTCGCTGAACGAGCAGAGGAAGACGATGAAGACGTGTTTGTTCATGGTGACGGTGGTGAAGGCACTAATATTCGATTTGGGTTTAATTACAAACGTTGAACCGTTTAATGAAGTGATTCACACAATGAACCACAAGTGAAGTTTATGCAAATTAGGGGAATGTTATGTTTTCAGGTTGGTGACATTGCAGTGACAGTTATGTAACAGGGAATTTGAATATTTTTTGGTTTTATGAGTTTTTCATGATAAATAAGCAAGTTTTACAGAGTTTTATGATGAATTTAGTTAAAATAAAGAAAAATTTATGTTATGCAAGAGTTTAAAGTGTTCTAACATACTTTATATTAGATTTTTTGAAGGAATACACCAGTGTGGAATCTAGTGACTTTTGGATGTTATGACATTCATCAACAATCGTTTCTTGGTTGGCAACACTGTGACAACAGTTATATAACAGGGAATTCAAATATTTTGATTCTTTTTGGGTTTTCCATCATGAATAATCAACTTTTACTGAGTTTTATGATGAATCAACTTAGTATAATGATAAATATACATTATACAAGAGTGCCACTAATTGCAACACTCTTTATAATAGCTTTTTTCAAGAGTATTTCATCATTCTAGGGAAATCTAGTGACTTTTAAGGATCAAATGATGATCATTCAAAGACTAAGATTGATTAATGATAAAAAGGGTTTAGAGGGTTCACAGACAAGTCTCTTTTGTACTTCTACAAATATTCCCTCTAAAATGTCTTTAGGAATCAATAAAACTCTGCATTTTGATAGAGGTCACTGTTAACTAGACCTGATCCAATCATGATCATCATCATTCCTTTCACCATAATGAATGAATGAATCTTTACAGTCCATTATCATCATCTTGAATTCTATTTATCCTTCAACAAGGCCCATGCCCATAGATTCCGACCATATCCGTGTAGGCTGCCTGTTTGGAGAGGAGTTTGTTGTTGAGTCAGCGTCCACTCTACCCGCTTGGAGTGGGGCGAGCTGTGACCCGCCGGGACGCCAGTGCGGTCGTTGTATCAGCAACATCGGCAAACATCTTGTGGACTTGTTGATGCCTCCGGTAGCGTCATCCATTGTGTCGCGAAGTTCAAGTTGGGGAATGCCCCGCGCGGCGATTGGGCCGGCCCTAGCAACGGATCATTAGTGTATAGATCCGAGGTGGCTCTGATCGCTTGCTTCACTGCTTCATCATTAGGGTAGTAGCAGTAGAGTTACATCAAGATGGAGCAATCAATGGAGTACGTCAACTTCCGCACCTGCTGCCGCCTCTGCCTCGACGAGAAGTGCCAGATGGCCAACATCTTCTCCGCGAAGAACAGACCCGCGCACATCACCGAGAAGATCCTCTCGGTCGTCGGCATCAAGGTACTACTATGTCTACGTAGCGTGCTCAGGTTATGTTGGCATCAGCATGAAATCTTCTAGTTTTTTGTTGATATCTCGAGAATTAAAAGAGCTAGAGTCGCCATTCTTTCACTATCGTATTCTTTATTAAATTCTACATCTGAAAACATCAGTCTTTTATTGTTTCCTGCTTTAATTGACATTCTACAGGCTTGTAAAGTTGAAATATAAAATTATAAAATGTTCCTTTGTAAAATTGAGGGTTTTTATTATGATTTTCTCTATTTAGGTGACGCTACAAGACAAAGTGACAACAAATATTTGTGATAGATGCTTCCTGTGTGTGAAGAACTACGACAACTTCAAGAAACTCTGCCTTAACAACCAAATACAGCTTGCTAAACATCTGAGTGTTTTTGAGGCAGAACTCTTGAATGAGGTAAGAAACAATCATCACCAAACTCAATCAAAAACTAAAACCATCCACAATGACTTTTAGAGTATACAAATCAAGGAAGAACCTGCATCTGATGATGAAGTTGTCTATGTTCCTTCTCAAATAGGCAGTGTAAGTATAAAAAACCTCTTAAAACCTCTCCAACGGTCTAAATTCCCGTTGTTTTCAAAACTTTGAACGTTTCACAGCCTTTATCAGTAAAAATTGAATCGCAGGAGACTCCAGACCAGCCCCAGGACGATGAACTTCCACCAATACTCTCGCCAAACCTCCCAACAGCCGAAATGCTGCGGAATCTTGAAGTGGAACCAGCTGAATTGATACAAACCATCGAGGTAATCACAGAAGAATCTCCCCCGAGTGATACTCCTGAAGTATCAGTACCAGTATCAGAAAAACCTCCAGATGACACTTTTCGAGTCCCTGAAGCTCCCACAACCCCAAAGAAAACCATAAATGACTCCCGGGAACAGATTGACTTCGCAGCTACGCTCCAACTAGCAAAAAAGATGGATTATGTCAATCTGGAACCATTCACAAAGACAGAAATACAATATTCCAAGCGTATGAAGTTAATATACACACAATTGAGTGAGTATATCTGCGCATGCCATAATAAAGTGCAACCCAGTCGCAAGGCACTCCTTGGACATCTGAAAAAGTACGAAGGAGTGTATCTACCGCCGTATTCCTGTCAGAATTGTTGCACGACCTTCACAAGGTCAGGCTTTTCCAGGCATCGCATCAGTAGTAGTTGCAAATGTGATGATTTTGAATACATGCATGATGTGAGCAATTGCATCGAGCGTGGAATCAATAAACATCGTAATTATCAAGCGTTCAAATGTAAGATCTGTCATTGTACAGCGAGGTTGTTTGATTCCTACGCGCAGCACGTCGAGGAGCATTTATCTCAGAGTCTGAGCATGCAGTGTATCTGCGAGAAGCAATTCACAAACTCAACTGCATTCAAACAGCATTTACTCAGCTCCTGCGTGATGAAACCCAGCTGTGACATGTGTGACTTAATGTTTGATACTCTGGAAGAGTTTAAACAACATTGTACAAGCACACATGATGATGAAGAAGGTGAAGAGTTCATGGTTGATGACAGCTTTCAGATTAAAGAGTTGCCGTTTGTTGCGTTGTACGCATGCGTGGAGTGTAACCTCAAATGCAAGCAGGAGTTGTTCCTCGTGCGCCATCTACAAACCGAGCATGGGTATGATTTGGATGCGGCGAAACGTGTTGGCGTGGATTGTTACATAGGACCACAAAATGGCGACGCTGCTTCACCATTGAATAATAACGAAACAGATGGACCTCCTGCGCTTGTTTATGAATCAGAAGATATTATCCCTGAAGAGAATCAAGCGAAAGTTATTGAAACTACTGAACCAACTGCGTACAAACAAATAAATTCACAGTTTGAATGTCAGGTTTGTTTCAAATCATTCAGCAACGCAGGGAATTTCCGCAGGCATTTGAAACAAGCACATCAACTGAATAAAAAACAACGCATGAGTACGTTTAACTGCGGGAATTGTGAAGGTACTTTCTCTACAATGGAAATGCTTCAGAATCATCTCATGAATAATCACATACACGCGTGTAAGGAGTGTGGACGCAAATGCGCAAGCGTTGAAGAGCTAGACAAACACCGCGCTAGTCATTTGAAGATTTCCCTCACAAGAGATCCGAATACTTTGAATTATCGCCGGTCTAGTGGAAGGGCTGATGATGATGACCTTGATACAATGCCTGTGTTGTCTTCTATTGATGAAGAAGATATAAAAGCTTTGAATTCTCAATGTAAACTATGTAAAAGATTATTTGCGACTGCGCGTGGTCTTGGTGTGCACATGCGCCGTACTCACAAAGACGCTGTTGTGCATAATAATGACTTGACGAGTTTTCCACGGTTTTGTAAGCGTACAGGATGTCACGTGTCGCTGAAATCCATGCCTGATTGGTCCCTGCATATGCAGATGCATGCGGAGAGTGACGGCGTCAATGCGCAGGCGTCTAGTGATAGCACAAGCCCTGCACACACGGATGACACAGATTATTCAACGTGTAATAAATGTTTCAAGGTGTTTGCGAATAGAGGCAATCTCAAACAGCACATGCGCACACATGGCGTGGGTTCAAGTCCGCCGAAGTTCAAGCGGTACTTTTGTAGCATTTGTAAATACGTGAGTAAATCCAATCAGGAGTGGATCAAGCACAGGCAGAGCCATCTGGTGAAATCTACGGCGATACAGTGTAAATTCTGTAAGGTTGGGTTTGCGTCCGAGGAGGATTTGAATATTCACATGCGTGATGAGCATGCTGTGCAGTGTACAACTGCGAAGGTGAAGGAACCGGATGTTCCGCAGATTTGTGAGATTTGTAACAAGAAATTGCCTTCGAAGGAGAGTTTACGCGGACATATTGGATGGCATAAACGCACGGGGACTTTTAGGTTAAAAAATGACACTGTTGGTACTACTGGGGCTAGTAATCCATTTGAACCACAAGTTACTATCAAAGAAACCCCTGCCACGTTGAATATCAACAAAGAGAAGTTGTTCAAGGATAAGACTTACATCTGTATCACTTGCGGTAAGTTGTTCCCGAGCACCACGGCGCTGCAGTCGCATCAAACGTCAGTTCATGGTAAACTAAGATGTCCGACATGTTGGAAGTTTTTCGAACGTGCGGATGAACTCAATGAACACATGAGACTCGCTCATGTTAAAGTTGAATCATCAACAGGGAAGAGACCTGCATTGGAACCACCAGTGGTGACACAACCTAAAAAGAAGTTTAAGAAAGGTTATGAGTATTGTAAGATCTGTGGCGCGGAATTTGGAGGTGAGGAGGAATTAAGAGATCATACAAGGGATGCACATCCTGGGGTACCTTTTATTCCCAAAGGATGTTGTGTGTGTCCGATTTGTGATGATGAATTCCGCAATATGGCGGCGTTGTCCAGTCATGTGCGGATGCATCAACGACGGGGTGATACTATGCCCTCTGGTGGTAAGAAGTCTACAGGAGGTAATAAAACTTCTCCTGTTGTTATTTCAAAGAGTCCTGCGACGAAATTATTCTGTGGAGTTTGCAAGAAAAGTTATGAAGATAGATCTGATCTGCGCAGACACATTCTCGATGAGCATCCATTTTGAGACTCGATTGACACTCGCTAGATGTATGCTATTTTTACGTAGTTGTAAGCCTGTATTGTTAATGTTTATTGGTAAGTGAGTTACCCAGCGATTAAGTTTGCAAACCATGTTTGCGTTTCCCTCTGTGCATAGAAGTATTACAAATGATTTGACAATGTTTATAAATATATAAAAATCTAATAAATTTCATACAGTTTTGTAACAAAAAACAAGTTGTCATCTGTCAAATATTTCACACATTTTTTACCTTTTTATAAAACAAGATGGATGCCAACGACCCATAGATGTGGATATTCCTTCTAAACAAAAAAGTGAGGTTATATAAGATTATAACTAATGAGGTTGTGTTACCACGTAGATAATTTCGTTGTTTTCTTCGTAAAGCGTAAGCTACGACATGTTGGATCATATCAGCAAGGAACTTAAAATCTTCAATGTTACACATAAAGTACAAAGAATCATCTACAGTTGATAAACTGACGAAAATTTCCTGTAAAACATGATTTTTAGGTTATAATAATAGATTTTCATGCAAATTCTTACCATTAAGTTGAATTTGGGAGGTGATAAGCGTATAATTCTATTTGTTCAGCTGTTGGGTGAAGCCCAGCTTGTGTTATGGGTTCAGTCGGTGAAGATAACAAAGTTTTCAGTGTGTTTAAGTCTTCAAGTTTGAAAGTTGTGACAAATCCTTGCTCCCATTTTGTTCCGTATCTCCCAGCTCTCCCTGCTATTTGTAATGCTTGTGATACAGACATGGCGTCCATTTCTTTTTCCCCTTTTTCATTGATTACTGGTTTTATCAACGAATGAAAAATGATTCGTCGAATGCTTAAATTTAATCCCATGCCTATTGCATCTGTGGCTACTAATATCTTACAACTATTATCAACGTCGTTGAATTTGGCAGCTTGTGCAAGTTTTGTATTAGGCGGAAGTCCGCCATAGATGACTGCGACTTCCCTTCCGGTGGCTTCTATCCCACGTGACACTGAATAAATGTCGTTTTTGCTGAAACAAACGATGCAATCACCCAGTTGGACGTTGTCTAAACCTCCTAGAGTTTATAAATATATAAAAATCTAATAAATTTCATACAGTTTTGTAACAAACAAAAAAAAACAAGCTGTCATCTGTCAAATATTTCACACACTTTTTACCGTTTTTACCGTTTTACAAAACAAGATGGATGCCAGGTCCTCACGTACTGCAAAATCCATCCAACAAGCTGGTCATCCACTTACACCCACAACAACCTTGAACCAACTCGTAGGTGATGGTATAACACGTCCCAAGGTCAAAACCTACAAGCAACGCAAAGCTATGCGTGAAAAACACTATCAACTCAAAGAAATGCGTGCGAATCTTCCGAAATTATCAAAAACAGAAATTCGCAGGTTTAGGTTACCATTCCATGAAGCACTCTTAGCTGAGTTGGAAGAAGATGGCTACTTCCACACCGCGAAATTCCTCTCACAACTCATGGAGTACCAAGAGGCTTACCGTGCTGATCATAGCTATGATGTAATCATCCAAGCACGACCTGTTCTCAAAGAAAGCAATGATCAACTCACTTATCTCTATGATAATCTGAAGAAAGCAGAAACAGCACATATACAAGAAGATATCGAATTGGAAATTGAAGAGTTGTTGAAAATCGCTTATAAGAATGCATTTGGTCCTGTTGATTGGTGGTGGTTAGGTGAACAAGTCTTCGCACAGTGTCTAAACATCACCACGAATTACCGCGCTGATGACAGATTCAGACACACGATGACCTATTACCTCTACGGGAAGTACCTCATTGAACAACCGAGGATTATCCCATTGGGTATGCAGTTCCTGAACATAGCAAGAGAATACAGTAAAGATAAACTATGGTCAGCAGGGAAGATCACTGGTCATATTGAGAAGTACATCTTCATTGAGGTATCCACTGTGTTGTATCATACTTTAATGGATCAGGCGAAAGCTGTGTTGTCACGGGACCCAGCCTGGGCTCTGGAGTTAACCCTGGAAGCACGTGAACGTGGTATTGATGCTTGTCTCCCCCGTGCGGATGTTTTTCATTTACTGGGACAATGTGAGATGGCTAATCAACAAGCGGATAAAGCCGTGAGTAATTTCATGAAAGCCTTCCTGTTATACAAGACAAATCATCAGATGGAGGAATGTTGTGAGGCTATGATTGGTCTTGCACAAGCTTATTATGTCATGGGTGATTTTTATCAGAATAAAGAACAGATGGAGAAGTTGTTGAAGTTTGCGCAGAAGCAGGGATTGAAAAGTTACATTGGACAGGCACATCTCTACATAGGGCAGTATTTCCTCAATGAAGGATCACCGGAAGCTGCTTCTCCGTATCTTACAAATGCTTTGAATATTTTTCATGAGATTAATGATGTCGCAAGGCGTGAATTCGTGAAAAACTTAGGTGCGGTATCAAAAGGTCAGTTAACCTTTCAATCATATGTCAAACTTATCCTGAGATGTGAGGATAAGTCAGATAGTTTGAAACGCAACAGGAATTTAGCTAGATTATTGAAATGGAAGGATTCACGTGAGCCTTTCTGGGATGATTTGTCTGAGAGTTGTTCATCTGCATCACTGGTTGCAGAAACAGAAGAGGAAGATGAGTCTAAGTTTGAAGCAACTTCACAAGTTGAAGAAAAAGTAGCAGAAGAGACTTGGGAGGAAGCACCACGTGATGAGCACTCCATTGGTGGATAATTTTTCATTTTTTTGTTTTATTATAAAAAAACTAAGAATTTATACGAATCAAAACTTTGGTTTGCGTTTACGACGCGTTTTCTTCGCATCGTCGAAATACCCTTCATCAATACCTACATTTTCATCTTTATTAGCCTTCCATTCCTTTTTTAACTCCTGTAGCATGTTGGGAGTGATCAATCCTTGCGCTAATAATCGTTCTGTTAACCTACCACGACCCAAAGACGCAGATTTTCCTTCTAGAAAAAAAAGTGAGGTTATATATGGTTATAACTAATGAGGTTATGTTACCACGTAGATAATTTTGTTGTTTTCTGCGTAAAGCGTAAGCATCCTCATCGGGAGCAGCTGCATCACCACTAGCAATACCAGTTTCTGAGTTTCTCAATAATCTGGTAATCTGTACAACGCCTTGTTGTATAACAGCGTCGAGTTCCTTCTGCATGTCACGCACTTGCGCTGCTTCACCGAACAAATCCATGAAGCGATAACTCAACCAGAGGTATAAATCCAACACATCGAAGACAGCTTCCAGGTGAACGAGATCTATGATGGTTTTTGGTGTTTGTACAGGCCAGTTGATGTTTCTACACAGCCAGTCAAAGGTAATTCGCTCGTTTTTACTGTATTGCCTTGCATACTGCACAAACACAAAAAAAAACATTTTTATTGAGTTTATAAGTTGTTTTGGGTATATATTTACCTTTAGGAACATTGTGCAGACAAATGGTAACTTTTTGTTGATAGGAGCACAGCAAAACACGTATCTTGCACGTAATGGCAGCGGGACATGTTGGATCATATCAGCAAGGAACTTAAAATCTTCAATGTTACACATAAAGTACAAAGAATCATCTACAGTTGATAAACTGACAAAAATTTCCTGTAAAACATGATTTTTAGGTTATAAAAATACATTTTTTTGCTGATTCTTACCATTAAGTTACTTAAAGTTGAATTTGGGAGGTGATAAGCGTATAATTCTATTTGTTCGGCTGTAGGGTGAAGACCAGCTTGAGTTATGGGTTCAGTCGGTGAAGATAACAATGTTTTCAGTGTGTTTAAGTCTTCAGGTTTGAAAGTTGTGACAAATCCTTGCTCCCATTTTGTTCCGTATCTCCCAGCTCTCCCTGCGATTTGTAATGCTTGTGATACAGACATGGTGTCCATTTCTTTTTCCCCTTTTTCATTGATTACTGGTTTTATCAACGAATGAAAAATGATTCTTCGAATGCTTAGATTTAATCCCATGCCTATTGCATCTGTGGCCACTAATATCTTACAACTATTATCAACGTCGTTGAATTTGGCAGCTTGTGCAAGTTTTGTATTAGGCGGAAGTCCGCCATAGATGACTGCGACTTCCCTTCCGGTGGCTTCTATCCCGCGTGACACTGAATAAATGTCGTTTTTGCTGAAACACACGATGCAATCACCCGGTTGGACGTTGTCTAAGCCTCCTAGAGGTGCGTCTTCGATTTTCAGCTCGGTGAGGCGTTTGTATTTGCGTACTTCGACGTCTTCACCGGTGGTGAGGCAGAGTTGTTTGATTAGATCTATTGCGCCTGGTTCACCACAAAGGTGGATTTCTTCAGCGACGATTCCTAGTAATGCTCGTGTCCATGCCCAGCCACGGCTAGGGTCTTTTATCATTTGGATTTCATCGATTACAGCTACTTCATCTTAAAATATTTAGTTTTGAGGTTATAAGTTATAATTTGAGGTTAAGTTTAGTTTAGATTTTTAAGGTTATAATAAACTTACATGGGGTATTCACAGAAGTCATTTCTACTGTGCAGGAGACATGTGAAGATGCACTGCCGCTCGGATCAGCAAAGTTTCGCTCTTCTCCAGTGACCAAATCACAAGGAGTGCCCTGGATTTAAGATTTATATTCATTTAACACATATTTAATGATATAATCATACAAAACTTACATTATTATTTGATTTATTAAATACTTCACTAGCTAAGAGTTTCAATGGGCCACAATACACACCACTCTTTGCTGTCATGAATCTTTCAAGTGCATGATAAGTTTTACCACTATTTGTAGGCCCAGCGTGAAAGATTATTTTCCTTGTTATGGCCCTAGCATCTGGATACCAGTTAGCAGGCGTTCGTAAATCTGAGATTTTCTTAAGGTCATCCATGCAGTCTAGATGTGGAAACATTTGTTTTGCATGCCTTAAAAAGTATGGAAGAATATCTGAAGCATTCGCTGCTCCCTGGATGATATCACTGATTACTATGTGAAGATCCACTGGAAGATTCTGAGCTTCCAGGCAGTATCTCCTGAAGCTAATGTAGGCCTGATGTTGTAGAAAGTCTAAAATAATAAGAATAATGTATAATAAAGCATTGAAAGCATTTTATTTCGAATAAAACTTACTGTCAAGTCCATTTTCTTGTAAAAGTAGTTTTATTTCACGTTTTTGATAGAATTTATTAAGGATTTTTAGCAAGTCAGCTTTGTTTATTGTTCCTGTGAGTTCTGCGCCTACATTTTCATCATCGGTGTTCTGTTGGACAGTCACTGGAGTAAATAGAGATGAAATTGGTGCAGAATTGTTACGCTTGCCCCTTGAAATGATGAAATTAGCTGGGATAGCAGTGTTAAATAATGGTTTTCGATGCAGAGAGCTGGAACGCATCAGCTTGCATAGCGTTCGGAATTTTCTTGAGCTTTGTAACATTTTATATTCTTCTAAATACCAAAAAAACACTTTGAATATTTCAAAATATGAACAGCATGTTGAAAATGTATGGTTAGATAGTGTATAGGTATTGTCAGTGAGAATGTGTAGGAAAATATATAAGAAAATAATTGTTTTACGGTCAGAAAAGATGAAATTATTGCTAAATATTATTTAATTCATGTTTATACATCATTAGAAGTCTTTATTGTTGATTTTGTAAGAGTTTATAAATAAAATTTAAATTTAACTTCAATTTTTCACTCAAGATGCCGCTGAGATGTCCTTTTTAGAATTAAATTCATGAAAAGAATATCTCAGCACAAGGCTGACTACTGATAACAACCTGTGGGTTGCTTGTTTGTCTCCACCAGGTAAAACGCTACACGATTATCAATGTTTACATGAATATGCAAGGCTGAATATAAGTTTAATGTTTCACGCAGGATGTCGCTAGGATGCACTTTTGCACATAAAATTGCGAGTCGAGATTTCTAAGAAACTGGAATCGCGTGTTGCTTGTTTCTTGTGTGTGGTAGTGCGTGCACTCGTGTACATGTGAAATCACGCGATGCGAATGCAATGTTTACATTTTTTATGAAGATTATTATTGCTGTCGTAGCACAAACTTGTATTTTACACTTTGATAACAATATCACAACGTAAAACTACGAGAATATTCTTGAATTGAGCCGTTTATTTTGAAAGTGACCTAACTCCGTTTTTCAATTTTTGCCGGTTACCATCGTTACATGTACAACTTCATGTTATTTATCAGTGACGCACTTCAGATTGCTTATATTCAGAGAAAATACGGTACATTTTTACACATAGGTTTCCCGAATTAATTGAATAACTGACCCGTGTGGTTTGAAAGTGGCCTAACTCCATTTATAGTTACATCAAGGTATTTACTATTGATAATGGCGGAAAGCAGCGATGAAGGTAATTTCAATTAATTAGTATTTACAAGTCCACCTCATTTTTGGGACAATTGCGTTAGTTAATTAACCTGTACGTTTAATTAATATAAAACTTAAAATTTAATATTAAATTATAGAAATTATTGCACCCATGAGGAAGAACCGAAGAGGACCACTTAGTTCAGATAGTGAAAAAGAAATAGTAATTAATAAAAATAAGCGAATAAGAAAAAGAGTTATAAAACAATATTCCTCGTCAGAGGATGAAGATTCAAATAACAATGGAGAAAAGATTGATGCACCATATATCCAAAAAGTGCGAAAGATAAAACGGAATTCAGGAAAAAGATATTGCAGTTAAACCGGAAGTATTGTTCATGAAAAAAATTTCGAAAACAAAGATTGTGGTTGTCGGAATGCGTTTGGCAGATTTTAACAAACAAAATGTATTACTTCACGAAGCTGTCTGTGAAACGAAGACGTTTTTTTTCTTCAATTTGAAACATCTTAAATTATGTTGAATGGACTTGGGCATCTTCAAATTTTATAATGAATCTGGCTGTTAATTTTGAAAGTGGCCCAACTCCATTCTTGATAAGGAAACGCACGTTATTTACTTAATAATTGCCACTATTTTAACAGGAACTTTAAATTTAACATCCTAAGATATGCTTAAGCAGTATGACTCCTTTGTATCTTATACGTATATTTTTAAATTCATTGAAACGCAAAACTTTCAATATCTCGATTTGAAGATAAATGGAGTTAGGCCACTTTCAAAATAAGCGGCTCAATTCTCATGTAAATAAATTGTTTATGGATTTTATAATAATTTTATATTTATAAACATGAAATAGCAAGAATTTGTTGTATTTTTAATTATTAGTTGCATTTTTATTGATATTATAACTTAGTTAAAAGACTTAAATCATTAGATGAAGTTTTATTATTTTTATAGAAAAAATAATTTCACAGCTTCCTAATTAACAAAATAGAAGAATAATTAATGATTTAGGGCTTGTATTGTAGTAAAGTAGTGATTGGACATCCTTTAAGAGCGATTCAAGAGCAAAAAAGGGTTTACGATAAGAAACGTGGTGGGGGTACGACCAGAACTAAACCAAAACCCTAAAATTGAGAAAAGAAGACCCTTAAACCCTACGACTACACCCCTGGACGTCCCAGGCACGACTGAGCGCAGGGCCCACTCCACCCTCGCCTTTTATACCTGCGAAGACCCTCAAAAAGTAGTGGGGGTATTCCCGGTGCGCCAGTAGTAATTACGTAAGTACCTATGCACGCTAGTAATAGGAGGGGGAAAATTAGCGTCATAAGGTACCCTTCATACCAAACCAAACCGCCAAGAAGTCCCTAATCACTCTCAAAACCCACTTTTACTTTAATTCAACTAATTTCAAATGACGTAAATTTGTGTTTGTTTCCATTATAAATTTTAATCAAAAAAAGCAAACAAAATTATACGCAAATATTTTCCTCTGCAAAGCGATAAAAACCAAGCACAGTACCGAAAAGTCATTTAATTTAATACTAAACTTATACAAAAAGTAAGTGTTAACAAAAAACTTTATAAAACACATCAAATCTTAAAATAAATAACAATTTCATTATAGAAAAGCATAAAAATGTCAAACTGGTTGCATATCATACTGGTGTTAACTCTGCTGTCATTACCTAATCAAAATGGCGTCCATGCAGCACCAACTGAAGAAACCAGCAACCTAATGGACATGATTGACATCGCCAGTAAAATGATCTCAATGCAAAACCCACAAATGGGTCACATGATCCGCAAAGTTCGAAACACCGTAGAAAATGTGGATTTAGAAGAACTACGATCAAACTGTCAAACGATGGACATGCTTATTCAATGTATAAGTGCCCTGAAGACTCCGATAAGTCAACTTTACGAAGCGGGTCAACTCCTACAAGATATGTTTTAGGTTATGTTACCAAAATGATTTAATTATAAAATTTCATTGTTTTAATAGAGTTTACGTGCTGAAATGTGATTTATTCGCAACTGGTGGTGTTAATTAACGTCCTTATCGTGTGTTTTGGGTATCGTAATGAACGGAAGTGACGCTAGTCACCGGATGTGTACACGCTGCGCATTTGTTTCAATAACGTCCAAGTTTTTCGTTGATCTTCGTCAGTTCTCAACCGATTTTCATGATTCTTTCACTGAATTCACATGTAATTGTTCATGTTAATTAGTTTCTTGTGATGTAATCGTTGAAATTAAGATTTGTTTCGGTGCGTGAATAATTGACGTGTGTTTGCGAGTTGAATGAGTGTGCGCCCGCCCATTATCGATCGGCGGTGCTTGGGCGGCCCACGCACGCACGCTCACTGTGTTGTAGCGGTCGCGGCCGCCTCCGCTGCCGCCGCCGTCGCCGCCAAACGGCGTCGCAACGTCGCGCGGAACAGCTGCCGCCGTCGCAGCCATTGCTCCGCACCGTTTGTGTATTGTTTAACAGCGTTTTTTCAGTGGCGTGCGTCCGGATTGTTCCTCAGGGCGACGGTGCATCGTTTGTGCCGGCGATGCTCTGAATCGCCGCGGCGTTAATTGCAGGTGAGTTGGATAATTTTGAAAGTGTTTTGAGGGGAGATTTGAGAGGCTATTTATATCACGCGCGGGGGCTGCCAGCCGCCATGGCGTGTGGCGGTGTGTCGGCGTTTATGTTGAATGTGGTGCATCGATTTTTACCCGCGGCCCGCCGACGTTCGACACCCACCTGTTCGTCGATGTTGTTACAATTTAGCTGGCGATAAGCGACGCAACATAACAAATCGTTATTTTATGTCTAATTTCTTTTAAAACACATTAAAACCTTTTACTTTTATGTGAATTAGTAGATAATTTAATTATACACAATTATATTGAATATACAATGTGTTTATTTTGTTTAAATTTAAATTTATTAAAATAAGTCATTATGGCACTTCTATACAACTTGGGCTTATTCGATGGAGAATTTAATTCTGAACAACTTTTATATAATAAACTATATGTTTATTTTGCTTTGTTTTTTTGTTATTGCGTTTTGAAATTTTTTCGCAAAAAAAAAAACGCAAAAAATGCAGAAATTTTGCTGGAATTACATTCAAAACACATATGAATGTAATATTTATGTCACATACACATTATGTGACATTTGACCATCGTTCCCTAATGGAATACTCTTGTTCCCACCATTTTGAATGTTTATATTCGTCGCAATTCGCTGCGTTTCTGCGCGTAAATTCGCAATTCTCGCACGTTTTTTCTATTGTTTTATTTCTTCCATTGCAGGCCATGCACTGGTCTGGCAGTTTACTAGGTTGGGCCCTGCTGTTGCTGGCGGCCGTCGTCGGCCCGCCGGGCGCGCACGCCGAAGGATATGTCGGTGAGTGTCTCCATTTTGTTTTCATCCTTCAAAGGAAAACAAAAATCCCGCGAGGAAATTCAATCCAATCAACACACTTTCATCCCGAATGTCTTCGTTTCGTGTGTAGGTTTTTATGATTAACGTCACACGCGCATACATACAGTGTGTTCAGCGCAAACAATGTAAACACGTGTGTACACAAATATTTAATTAAAACCACGCATTACTTTGGCAATAAATTAAAACGCTGAAGCGATGAAATTTCAGTGCTCGCGTTGAGAATGATTTACAAACGAGGACGCGACGAACGCGGCCGCAAAAGTTTCGCAATTAAAATGCCATTTTCTTTTGCGCACGCAGACGTCACAACTTGTTAAGTGGTTAATCATTTCGTTGGAGTAAGATGCCAAACGAGAAAATAAGTATTATCCACTTTAAAATGATTTTTAAAGATTATACAGTGTGTCCTCAAATGGTCCTCAGATATAACTTGGTCTCAATCGATAGATAATTTAATTTTAAACATTTTATTCATAATACACTATATGTCTATCTCTTATAGTTTTTTGTGTACAGAGGTTTAAAGTTTTATTCTCTCAAGAATAAACAGGCAACCTCCCACACACAATACTTATACGTGCTTCGTAGGTCGTTTGCGGACGAATCGTTACACTCTGACGTCAGCAACCCGTCTACTCACGTTTTCATTCAACCCATTCATATTTCCCGCGCGCCGCCCCCGCACACTAATTTCATCGATTGCTTTTGTTTCGACTGAAAACGACCCTAATGGATTCCTAACGACTTTTAATTCTATTTCCGTTTGTGTCTTGCATACAGGGTGTCTCTTCAGCGAGCGATTGTGTTTGGAGCAGGTGGAGTTTTGCTATGACGGTGAGTGTTGCATGATTACAAAATGGCCGACGTTAGGTTATGTTTTGTTGATGTTGTTGTTTAGACTACGCGTTCGGAAGATGCCTGCAGGCCACCGGCGACCTCGACGAGGACGACTACTTTCGCTTCGACCTCGACAAGGACGAACTGCACGACCTCAACCACGAATTGAAGCGGCTCTTTGCGCTTGGCTATAGATGGAGCCACGCGTATACTCAGTGCCGCCTCCAGGGCTTACTCTACGTCACCAAAAACAAGTAGGTTTTGTACTATTGAACATTCTAAACAATTTGTTTATAATAAACTATATTGATATTTTGTGTAGTTTAGAAGATATTTGAGGTTAAAGTAATTATACAGAGTGTTTTGTTTTTAATTTATTAGTTTACCATTGGATCCCAACTTATGTTTCAACCTGGCCGATCAAGATCTCGAAGGGGCATTGAAAGCTTTAGAAGGGGAGGACGATGTGGACCCAAAAGAGGTCGCGATTGTAAAGTTTACCCCCAGCGAAGACAACCCCGCTGGGAATTTCGCCGACGAAGTATACTATCCCCCGATGGTCGACGAGCGTCAAGCCGCACGGAAAGTCATTCTTCCTGCGGAGGCGGTTGATTGTAAATATTTCAACCCATTTTCTTTTATTTTTCAGAAAATTAATTAAATTGCTTTCTGTTTCCCCAGTGGATATGGAAGACCCCTATGCGGGTTACTCGGTATTGAAACGCTCTCCATGGTTACCCCCGCTGCTACCACCCATGCGGCGAAGATCCGTGCCCAATTATTACCAACATTTCCGCCCGGAAGCGGAAAACGCAGCGGGTGGGTACTTCCCAGATGTCACAAGTACCTACAACCAACCACCAGCTATCTCTGATGAGGACGACGCCATCTTGGGAGAATACCTACGACGTATCCCACTGAGTCCTGAGAATTACGAGGAGATCTTACCGTTGATTTATGGTAGGTTGCAATATGATCGGCAACGGGAGTTGGAGCAGGAAGCTGAGCAAGCTGAGGAAGAAGAATTGCAAGCTAGGCAGGAAGCGTGGAATGAACAACAAGGTGGGAACTTCCCAGCAAGGTTTAGTTTTAGTTACAACACTCCGGATAAGTTTCGGGAAGGGTGGGAGTCCAGGGATTTGGTTGATGATGATATTATGACAGATGACATCCCGGAAAGCAGGGTTTATTTTGATGAGAGGGATAGTGGTGGTGGGGGAATTAATGAAGATATTGACGAATACGGAAGTGGAGCTGAAGAGATCTTCAGGGAGTTGAAAAACCTAAACCTGGGAGACACTCCAGAAAAACCGGAAATCTTCCGGGAACTCGCACAAATCAAACAGGCACAATCCGGGGAAGAAAGTGAAGAAACCAACAAAGAACCATCTGGAGAAGAAAGTATCTACACAGAAGGAGGTGTTGTCTACGTTCCAGACCATCAACTAGAAGGTAAACCTAATATAACCTCAAAATTAAACCTAACCTTAAAATCATTACCATTTTTGACAGACGAACGCAAGGCTCAGATGAAAGCAGCTTTCACTCGCACACTCAACGAATTGTTACAAAACTACGACATGACAGGCGGGTTCCAACGCCCCGAACGTCTAGATGTCAAAAAACCAGGCCCACCTTTTGACACACCAACAAAATTCCGCAACCAGTATCACACAGAGGACTCTGACCTTGACAACAATATCCCCATCACAATGAATGATCTAAATGAAGATGACGTTGATTTGAAACAATTGAATCTGAACAAAGATGCACTTTTGAAGAATATCCTGCTGCCATCTATGATGAAGAAAGAACCAAGGGGTGCACATCCTAACCCCTCTCATGAGATGTACTACGTGGACACAGATTACGTCTATGTTACCATCAAGGATAAACTGACAACTTGGAGGCAGGGTGATAATATCATCAAAACCATTTCAGAGATTCTAAGTCTCCCACCAGGGGTTCTAAGTCATGGAAGGGTGGATCATAATGAGGTCACCTTCAAGGTCAATTCAAATGAAGAAGGGATGACGGCCCAGGTCCTAGCAAATAAAATTTGTAAGTATTTTCTTCCGGGGTTATAAAAGATTAAATTTATACAGGGTGTTTGGATTTTTTAATTTTCAGGGGAAGTCCGTGAGAAATTAGCAGAAATGACAGGGTTCCAGATAACCTCAACAGGTGTAGGTGACAAAGAGAAACATCCAATTTCCGTGTTGAAAGCCCCTAAGGATTCCACCTTTGAAGATTACCTCTATTGGTTCACCTTGATTGCAACGGTAGGTGGCGCCCTCATTGGTGTGATTGTTGTGGTGGTAGTCAACTGGCACGTACGACGTCGTTTGAACAAATTGAACAACGTGGTCCCACCTGACCCGGAAGCTTCCAAAGTCTATCAGGACCTCTGCAGGGTCCACATGGCAACCAAAACAACTTGCCCAGCAATTGAAGATGGAAGGATCGCATCCCTGACAAAGGAATCTGAACAATCTCCTTCAAGCAGATCCAGTACATCATCCTGGAGTGAGGAACCTGCCCTGCATAACATGGACATATCCACCGGACACATGGTCTTAACCTATATGGAGGACCACCTGAAGAACAAAGACCGTCTTGAACAGGAATGGGTTGCCCTTTGTGCGTATGTAGCTGAACCCTGTGAGACCACAATTGCTATCCAGAAGGAAAATGTTGAAAAGAACAGATACCCTGATGTGTTACCCTATGACCATGCTAGGGTTGTCTTGAATGAGTTGTCCAATGCGGTGTCGAGTGACTACATCAACGCTTCAAGTATAACTGACCATGACCCAAGGAACCCTGCTTACATTGCTGCCCAAGGTCCTCTCCCCCACACCGCCGCTGATTTCTGGCAGTTGATCTGGGAGCAAGGCGCTGTTGTCATTGTAATGCTGTCAAGGTTAACTGAAGGTGGCGCTGCTATGTGTCACCGATACTGGCCAGAAGAGGGTTCAGAGTTGTATCACATCTATGAGGTCCATCTGGTCAGCGAACACTTCTGGTGTGATGATTATCTGGTCAGATCCTTTTATTTGAAGAATGCAAGGACCAGTGAGACCCGAACTGTCACCCAGTTCCATTTCTTGGCTTGGGCCGAAGCGGGTATACCTGCTTCCACCAAATCTCTTCTGGAATTCAGACGCAAGGTCAACAAGTCATACAGAGGTCGTTCGTGTCCCATTGTGGTCCATTGCTCTGATGGGGCAGGACGTACAGGGACCTACTGCTTGATTGATATGGTCTTGAGTCGTATGGCGAAAGGGGCGAAGGAGATTGACATTGCGGCGACCTTGGAACATCTGAGGGATCAAAGGCCCAGGATGGTTGCTACCAAACAACAGTTTGAGTTTGTTTTGACAGCTGTTGCTGAGGAAGTGCATGCTATCCTCAAAGCTCTACCCCCGCAGCAGAACTCACAGGATAAGGAGAAGTAAAAGGGAGGTTAGGTTTATTTTGACAGTTATGACATTTTTAGGTTAAGTTTCCCAAAACAAAACCAGCCTTGTTGGAGGAAACTTTGTTTTTGGTTGCGTTTATTAACTGAGCATATCTATGAGTATATTTTGACAGATGTCAAAATAAAACAAATGACAGATGATATAATTTTCAATTAGACATATTGATGAGCGTGCGCAGTCACACGTTAAGTATTAATAGCATTAATTAAACAATTAAATTATGCTTGATGTCAAAAAAGTAACAAAAAACACAAATATCGCTATAATGTGTTAGATGAATAACATAACATATATTTTGTGTATGGATGTGTAACATATATTTTTCGAAGAATTCTAAGAATGACAGATGACAGATGACAGTTGACATCAGGTGCAGAAAGCCAAACAGATGAAGTTTTAGATAATTTCCTGTCATGATATCATGTTATTTTTATATATACACATTGTTTGAGGTTACGGAGAGATATCACAGATGGCGTTTCAGTTTTCTATATTGACTTAGGTTACACAAATGACATTTATCGAATCGTTGACGCTTGAGAAGTAATTTAACACTTTGTTGACTCTTAACCTTAAAATCTAAGTTTAATTATTTATCCGGGAGATGGAGAGGGGGAATATTTTAACCATGTGGTTATAAATTAACAATTTGATCTCTTATTATCAAAGCCTATTATATTATTGTTAGAATAGGATGATAAACAAAAGAAAAAAACAAAAAAGTTTGATTTTAACATCATGAAAGTGAACAACATGGCGGATAATGACAGCGGGGCGTGCGGAGCTTTGGTATCCAGCCTCCCGAAGCGCCGAGCGCCCCCTAGCGGCCATTACCTAACCTAGAAAACAAAAAGAAAAACGCAAAACATCACAAAATGCGTAAAGATATTAAAAATAATTGACTGATGTAACAAAATGACGATTGACGCATACCCCAGGTAAAACAAACAGAGAAAACAAAAATAATTATATGAAGTGTTATTATATAAAGAAATTATACATATACATAAAGTCTATAAAGAAATATATAAACTGTAACCTAACCAAAAAAAAACAAAACCAAACAAAACTATTAAAAGAAAACATATTTTGTCAGAATATCTTAAGACGATGATACGATGCAATTATTAACATGTACGATGAAGACACGACAAGATGGCGGGCAGTGTGTGCAGTCTATGCGTAACTTAACCTAACTTAACCTAAAATCTAAGCTCACACAATAATCGTACGTGTTGTCTGATATGATATGATATGAAATATATGCATTGACATTTGACAGCATACAAACACAAAACATGAAACACAAAACTCTAAACAAAAAACAAAAAACAAAAGTATATAGAATAGTTAATGTATTTATGTAGACAAAAACGTATACAACAAAGAGAGCATCATCTGGTTTCAATTTTTTTCTCATTCCTTCAAATTTACAAATTTTTAAAATTTAATTTTCAGGATTTTAAAGTTGATTGACCTTGTCAAGGTCATTTAAGTGTTTTGGGCGTTTAGCACCATTTATGCAAAACAGGATGAAGGATGTGATAAAGGGGGAGAGGGTACAGGAGGAAAATGGCGTAATGACCGACGAGATGCTGCGTTGTCATGACAACGCGCTGGGTCGCGCATCGACTGTGCGACGGCGCGAGCCATTTCAAACACACCCTGCACGCATACATTGGGATAACAATGAGTATCCCGCAGGATTCGACGGGAATTTGCGACGGGGGTGTTTGTGTGTGTGATTCGGGTGGTTTCGGCCGGCGGGCGGTCGAGATGCGGCGCGTTCGGCGCGTCCGGCTCGGTTAGTTCGTTCCGGAGGCGAGCAGGAGCAGCAGGAAGCCGGCGTTGAGTGCAGTGTGTGCTGAGAGCTGTGCGGACATTGTTCTCGCTCTCTGGATCGGGGCCCGGAAGTGTTGAGTTTGTGAGGTGCTGGTCAGCGGAGACAATCGAATTATCATCAGGAGGAAATTATTGGTGAGTTTTTATTAGGTTTAGAGAAATTTTTAAAACCGGAAAACCGGAAGTTGTGTTGGAATATTGAGTTGAATTTGATTATATTGGATTTTATGTTGATATGAATGTAAAATTGGGTTTTTGGTAGAAATTAGAAACCGGAAGTGATGGAATATGTACAGGATTCACTTGGCGTAATCAAATAAAAAATGTAAAAAGTGGATGTTTAGTTTTAGGACACTTTTAGCGGTGGATTTGTTGCGGTTTGTCGACGTGAATCTCTCTCGCGTTCGGGTACTTCATTAAATTTTAATTGCACTCGTGTTGACTAGCGTCCGGGTCGTTGGAAGCTCTTCACATCGCTCACATCGCATCCCTAAAATCTTGTCCTCATTGTTTTTTATATGCTGACACCGTTAAACGCACCAAACATTTATTTTTTAATTTTTTTTCTGGACGCATTGTATATAATTATATGTTTAATTAAAATAACTCGGGTAATTATTGCTGGATTTTAATGAAATTTTGTATACTTATAAATCATAGTATTCTGTATACAGTTTGTGAGTTTTATGTTATTATCTTTGTTAGAACAAAAGTTATTAACAATCAAAGTTTGAATTGCAACTAATTCCGCTTTATTTGTATTTATAGTAAACAAAATCGATTTGGAAACAAAGTTTTATGATGAATTCATCAATGCGATCCGAAAACTTTTTACTTTTACGTCTTGGATACTTCCGGATACTTTTTCATCAATTTCTCGTCCTTTTATCGCGTTTTTATCTTCTTTTCTCGCTTTTAAGCGGAAAACTCTGCGAATGTTCAAAACGTGCTTAACGTTCGGGCACGAAATCCCGAAAGATAAATTATTCCACACGAACAGGCACAACAAACAGCGAAAAACTTCACATCAGTGGATATATGCAACCAACATTACGTTACGCAACATAACCAAAAAGCAACGCTCGCGTCAAATGATGCGCGCAGGTCGTTATCGGTCGGTAAACATTTGTTCTCCAAACAATTTTCAACTACACGACGTAAATCGGTGATTTCCGGAAGTTTTACGGGAATAATCTGGAATCAAAAAGATTTACAAGCGAAATATATGAATATGCGATAAAAATTTAAGTGAAAAGTTATTTCAATCCTCACTAACCGCAACCGCGGCACCCGGAAAACTCGAAACTCAATTCCCACAGACCGGAAACCGGAAACTTTTTGGATTTAGCCGGAGTTTAACACCACACATGCTATATATTCATTAAAAACTTTGAGAATTTGAGTATTTTTAATTAACACGGACATAGTGTATGTTTTGATAGGTTATGTTAGTTTTTTAGGTTATGTTGTATCTATGGATTATTAAAATAAGTTATGCAGGGTGTGTAATATCTACCCGGGAGATTGGTGATGTATGACAAAAGGTCAACGCCTTTGCGCCGCCATGATGGCACGAATTCGCGCGCTCGGGACGTGATTCCTCCGCATTCCTTGTTCTACTTCTTCCTGCTGTAGTTTAAATACGTTTTACGACTGCCATCTTAGAAAATAAAACCGGGCGGAGTAAAATGAAGTCATAAAATTCAATTGCACAAATCACAGATTACAAATACAAATAAATTGTTTAACTTTTTTCAAAAAAAAAAAAAATTACAGTTTTCTGTAATTTTTAATTTTTTTTCAAAATTTATAACTTGTGGGTTATGTTCGGATGGCACCTGCGTGAATTAGGAAACAAGCCAATTTGTGAAAGTGGGCACGCCGGTTGTTTTCATTATTTTCCCTCCGTGGTCCTGGATTTTCGCGTCCGAGGTCGCTTACCCCGAGATCGGCTACTGGGGCAGCAACCTTCAGCATCCCGCACACAGAGAGAGCGAAAAACGCTGCGTTTACAAACCTATACATACACATATACACATAGCGCGATGTATGCTAGGCAACCAGTCGTGTGTTTTGGTGTATGTTGGGTGGTATGTGTGCGTGTGATGCGAGAGAGGAGCACGCCCGGAACGGAATCGGGGCGCGCACGGCGCAGCTCTCGTGCAAAGGGCGTGGCAGTTCTGCCCGGGACCGGGAAACCGCCACCAGCAGCCGCCGCCGGCTGACATCGACTACTCCCGGACCACCGCCGCCGCCGCCGCTGCTTGATTCTGACTCTGTGGGTTTACATAACTACAACTATCATGATATATTTACGCAGTGATTAATATCATGGGAACACATTGTATGTTATGCTTTTCATTAGTCAGCCATTTTGTGTTTTTTTTTGTGTAGCAGTCATTGTCTATCATCTGTCATTCTTATTCAACTTGTTTTTGTTTTTATGTTATATTTTTGTTTTTATTCAGTTGTGATGAAATTGTATACAGTGTGTTTATGTCAAGATGTTTTATGTTGGGTGGAAATAAGCTGAAAGTGACGTGTATGGGATTTTATGGCTTGGTGCAGCTCTCTATGGAATTTAGTTAGTTTTTTCTTTGTTTAACCACCCCTAAAAGACGGTCCCGGAAGTGGGAAGTGGGAAGTGAAAAGTGAAAAACTCGGCGTCTTAGAGGAAGACAATGGAATGTGTCATAAATCTTACAGTAGTCGTATACACACAAAAAGCACAAACCCGGAAAACCGGAAAAATAAAAAAGAAGTATTTATTTCATTCGAAAGACATAAATAACAAAAACGTTTTACATTTCCATTAAAAAAAAATACGGAAAAGAAGCAAAAACACACTGTATATATGAAAATATTACAACTTAATATTAAAAGCGTGTCCCACGTCGGCCATCTTTCGCCCCTTGTCTTATTTTATCAACTTTCATGTTAGTGACACTTTTTCAAGTGCATTTTCACCTTTTTTCCGTGAAAACCGGAAAACTTTTATTCACCTTTTATCAACTCTTAAATATTAACCACATTATTAACTTTTTTCCATCGCAAACTAAAGATCTTTATTGTTTTAATGAAAATTGGATAATAAATTATCCAGAACCCCGCCCCGATTAAAATTTATTACCGAATTACCCAACAATACCGGAAAGGGGTGGTTGAAAGAGGAAAATGGATAAAGGCTAGTTCCAAGTGTTCAAGTGGCTATCGGCCGATTAATTATTCGACTTGTTCGACTTGAATGCGTTTACAACCCTTAGAAATCTGCTACCCTTAAAGCCCTTAGGGGATTCAATGTTATTATAGTCTCTCAAGTCGTTTAAGTTGGTATACTTGAGTGTCGCTTAACAAATAGTTTCAAATCTGTTGATTTATTTGAATTTATGTGTTTTATGTGAACACTCTGTATATTTCACCGGAAATGGGACACAGTGACATTTGGTGTTCGGTTTGTTGGTATTTCGAAACAAATAGAGGTGAAGCCAATGGCCAAGAAAAGAAGTTGAGAAATTAATTGCTTTTTTTGATAAAAATGTGTTTGTTTTAGGTTAGGTTAGGTTAAGACATAATCTAAAAAAATGTAAAGATCAAGATATTAATAATTAGTGATGGAATGGACTAATTATATTTTTAAATGTCAATTTTTTTTAATTTCTTTATTTTTTTAATAAAATAGTTGATAATTGAGGTTAGATTTGGTTATAAATCAAAATGGCGGGTTATTTAGTGTTGCACTTTATGTTTATTAGATTAAACTGCGTTGGAGTGATGTCAATTTGCTCTAATTCAAGCGCAATTTGTTAATCTCAGCACAAACAACATAAAAACATAAACTTTTATAATCTTAAAAAAACCACACTGTATATTTTTATTTATGTGTTATATGGTCTAAGTAATGTATTAATAATATTTAATTGTTTAAATTTCAGATTGAAGACGTGATTCTCCCTTGTTGGGTACACGGGAGCCACGCCCCCTTCGGCCATTCCGCGTGAGTTCCGTGCGTGCGTGCGTGTTTACCGTGTTCAGTATCGCTCGGCATTTCGTACGGACACGACGTCGATTTCCACCCGCGTGAAAAACACTCAATCATGCGTTCACTAACCTAACTTAACAGATAACAACCACACTTGTGTATTAATTAAATTAATCAATTAAATAATTAAAACATTAAGTGATAAAACAGAAATCTGTAATTTGAGGATATACACACAATACAAAAACAGCATAAAATTGAGGTTAAGTCGGTAAATGGATTCGAATTCAGTGTCACCCATGCCGGAAACAATGGCGCCCATGGCGGAGTTTGACAAGACACCACCAACACCACCGGAGGATACTGTCCCAATGGATGATTTACCACCGCCACCCACTGCGGTGAGCATTGCTGAAGAAAAGGCTGCTGAAGCTGCGTAAGTAGAAAAATATTTAGTAAAAATTACAGGGTTCTGTACTTTTGAAAGTTGAAATGATGGGTTATGATGGGATTTGTAATTATATAGTACTTTTACTTTCGGTTTATTATTATTTGCGTTTGGTAGTGAAAGTATTTGTTGATTGCTATGTTTTATTTCTGCCAATCATAATAAAACATGATGAAATGTTGTAAAGATAAGTAATTGTGTTTGCATAGACATCTAACGGTCAATTTTTAAAGTTTTTATGTCGTTGTTAGTTTACGGTTAAGTTTTGTAGGTTATTTTTAATTGTTTTGCTATTTTAAAGTTTTAGAGGTTAAAAATATAGGTTATTAGTTAAAAGTATTGTATATTGCTTTGTTTTCTTCTTAAAATTATCATAAAACATAATAAAACGTTGAAAAATTGACTAAATACGTTTGTATAGCCATCTAGCGGTGAATTTTTGAAGCTTTTGTGAGATTGCTAGCTTCTGCATGTAATTTGTAGGTTGTTTTCGATGATATTTGAATCAATTTCAACCAATTTCAACTTATAACCTCAAATTTTCTCGTTATTGATTGAAATAATTGCAAATTACTTTGTTTTTCTCTTAAAATAGCAATAAAACACAACAAATCATTAAAAATTTAACAAATTATGTTTCCATAGCCATCTAGCGGTGAATTTTAAAAGTTTTATGACCCTGTCATCTTAAGGTTATGATTTATTCGCTCTTTTCATGTTATTTCCACGTAATTTTCAATTGTATTGCCAATTTCAAAGTCATCGACCTTCCACAAACGCGTTTATGTGTTGTACAAGTACGTTGCGCGTCGTTACGAAATTCTATAAATAATTCGATTTGTTATCACTGCGGGCGTACGTTTTCAAACACCAGCTAACGATCGCCATACCCATGCATAATTTACACTCAAAAAACATTTTTTTGCAAAAACACGCAAAAAAAAGAAAAACAAATTAAATATTCGTAATTTCTAGGTTAATAACTGACCTTCCATTATATTTAAGGGTTGTTATATTACTTCCTACTACCCTCAGTCGCATACGTAATATATTCCTGTACTAATCTATAATTAACGCATAAGTTATGACCTAATATACAGTGTGTTTAGTTTATATTTAAATAATCACTAAGTGAATAGTGATATCTTTATAAATTATGTATCATGACAGCAAAGGGTGAAGTTGTCTGCAATTGTGGCGTTCACCCCTTGATTTCTGCGTGGGCGGGACACCCTTACCTGCGTCCGGAACCCATTAGACCGTATACACAACGCACGCATTATAAATGATAAAAATAAAGCGTCAGTAGAAGGTTTTTTTTTTCAACCCTTAATTTAAACCTCACACAATATTTTTTTATTTTTTTGTTTCTGGACTTTTATATTTTATCAGGGGGTTAATAATTGCGTGAAGGTGTGTTCCTAGTCATAATTCATCCACGTGCGGACATCACGTGTCGTTTTTACACTCCTTGGTCATCGATATTCGATTATTACTGCGTGGTGATAATAAACTCATAGGTTTCTGGCGTTTTCTTTTGTTTTCTTGACCTGAATTACTCAAAATAACCTATAATATAAGTTTGGTTATGTTTTGGGTTTTAATATTGGTCAACAGGTGGGGTTGTGATTGAGAGCTATTTTTAAAACATTTCCTGTCGTTTTTTGTGAACATGTGGTAACATGTGGCTTGTTAGGCATTAAAAGCGCGTTCAATTGTTTACTCTCAACGTCGAAGCTTCACCACAATTCATCTATGTGCGGATGTGTTCAATCAAGACGACAAATTCGAAAATTAAATCACATGCAAGCAAGCAAGCAATGCAGCGATGATTAATCTAATTTAAAACATATTTTTATTACTTTAAAATTCTAAAATGATTTTATATCATAGATATTGATTAGATATTTATATTTTTGAAAGAATTTTTTAATTATTTTTGATAGTTTCCAAGATATTTAAATTCTAAGATTTATGACAGTAAATTTGGTTGCCTATGATAAATTCCAATTGTAAAAACACTTTGTGCATAATTTTACACGCGATACTTAATTTATATTAACATAAATCTAATTTAAAACATATTTTTAAATATTATATACATAAAAACATTTTTGTTTTATAAATATTGATTAGATATTTATATTTATGAAAGAATTTTTCATCTATCTCAAATATTTCCCGAGATATTCAACTTTAAAGATTTAAGTAAGTTATTTCAGTTGCCTATATCAAATTCCTTGCATCTAAGCACGTCGCGCACCCTCCTCACGCGTTGCCATGCTTTGTTTGCCCGTTGCTATGCATGTGTGCGTGGTGTCTTCGTTTGTGTTCGCTGCGCGCAGCGTTCAACTGTTCAACTGTTCACCATTCACCTCAGTCCGGGTTAGCGCGCAGTTGTCGACGGAGTTTCGCTTGTGGCGCAACATACTTGACCTGCGTCCACCAACAACAACCTGTTCTCTTTTGACGCTGTGACTCTTCGGCAGTCATCTTCGCGAGTGCAACACTCTTGCCACGCATCATTAGAATTAAACTTTACGTGTGTACTACTCTCACTAAAACATAAAAACTAAAATCAAAGGATTAAAACGTATAAAAAATAATCTAAGATGGGGAAGAATAAAATGCATACTCATACGTAAGTTATCTTTATTACAATGTATTTGATTATGATAAGAGTAAATACCAGGAATTATTCATAGTTTCTTATCGTGTTTAATAAATAATAGTGATATACATGACACCATCTATCGGTGAATAGTTGCGAACTCATGGGCGGGGCTTAAATGTATAAATTTTTGTTTTTTTGAGTTTTAAAATGCAAAAATGTGTATTTTTTTGTGTGAAAATGTTTGAGTGGTTATGTAATCGATCAAAATATCACTTTCGGTTGTTCAGCGCACGATCATCGAGTAAAATAATTAACAACAATAAATGCCGCCGCATGCCACGCGAATACTAAACAACAAACACAACAGGTTTACGTGTGGTGTGATGTCATCTCGCGGATTATTGCCAATAACATTTGTAAATATGCTAATTTTTATTTTTTTCATATACAGGCGATTTAAATCTGTAAAAAAAGATGAAAGTTGATTTTTAAATTATCAACGCTTTCGATATTTTTATTTGTTTTGTGGTTTTTAATATACCGATAAATTGTTGTTAGTATTCATGGCGTTTCTCATCCTTCCGATGATTAGGAAGTGTTTAACACGCCTGTTGAAGCGTGACTTCCGGGACAAGTGTTGTGAATCTAGGCGGAAAAATAACGATTTTATTAATAATGTATTTGTTGATTGTGATAAATTATTTTATTGATTTATTTTGTTGTTTTTGATGTTGTGAGTTTGACATTTCCGCTATTTGGTTGCATTTTCCGTAATTATTGTTAATTATCTATGAGAATGTGTTTACTGTTAGTGCAGAAAATAACTGCAAACGAAAGTAAAATGCAAATTGCAAAAGGAAAATTGGAATATATTAATAATAATTATTCTTACTGTAAATTGCAAATGTCGGACTAATGAAAAGTGAGTTATAAATTCCATGAAAGTAGATTAATAGTAAATCTTGTTATAATTATTTATTAACGTGAAAAATTAATCAAAAAATTAATTTTTACTAAAAAATAAATAAATTTTTAGGTTAAAGAGAGGTTTTGTTTAGTTTTACTTGAAATTTCTTTGTTTTTATTTGATTTATTAAGAAAAAAATCAATTTTAATAAAAAACTCGTTCAAATTTTAGGTTAGAATGAGGTTATGTTTAGTTTTACTTAAAGTTTCTTTGTTTTTAGTTGATTTATTAAGAAAAAAAATCAATTTTTATTAAAAAATCGTTCAAATTTTAGCTTAAAATTAGGTTATGCTCAATTTTTATTAAAATTTCTTTGTTTTTATTCGATTTATTAAATAAAATTCATATTTTAGGTTAAATTTTAGGTTAAGCTTGTTTTCCGTCATTTTCTTTGTTTTTATTTCCTATATTTACGATCAGAGTAAATACGTAGTAGTAAAAATGATAGTACGATTGTAATCACGCGTATCCGAAGGGACAGTGACCCGTCAACCCGTCTAGCAGCCATGTGCACTCGGACGCACGCGTATGCATTAATAATGCGCCGCCTGTCGCCCCCTCTAGCAAGCGGGCGCGATAATAATCATTATGAAATTAAACTAATAGGGGAATCCCCGTTGCCGCCCGATACTTAAAAGGAAACAAAGGGTCGCACAAAGAAAACAAAGAAAATGCATACGTTGTGCTAGATCCGGGGTGGTTTGCATTTTTAATGCGGACGTGCATCGACCGGCCTCAACTTATTTTTAAAACAAGTTTTATCCAACAAAATCATCAAACAAAGAAGAAGAAAATTACTTGTGAGGAAAATTTGTGTAAACAAAGACGTAGCTCTTAAAATATCATTAGTGTTAGCATGGGGTTAGATGGGAGGATATACAGGGTGTTTAATTTTTTTTATTTATAAAATATTATTGTTTAATTGGAAAAATAGATACGAATATAAAGATAACAATCAACTAATGCATAAATGCATGTTTTATTACCGGCGCACGAAGTATTATCCTATTTAAATAAAATAATTGCCGTGAAAAAATGAAAACGCACACAAGGGAATTAATAATGAAGAAAAAACGCGCTTGTTGTGAGCGAGCGTGTCCAGTAATTATTATCGTTACTCATTTACTCATTCACGCGGTGGTTTTAATCGTTTCATGCTTAGAAAACTCTGGAAATGTTGGAAATAAAAGTGGGAGGAGAAAAATACACTTTATTGTATTTTTTCTTAAAAATTTTTGTGTTATTTTTTTATTTTTGATACAATTTTGCATATAATGTGGTTTAGGATGTACGCCAGTGGAGTAATTAAACTAATTTATTTCAATTTGTAGCCTCATCAGTCGTAATAAGTTGAGTTTAGTCTAGTTTACGCATACGCGACTTAAGTTGAGTCATTCTTTCTGAAATAAATGTTCCCACACGGTAATTTCGGTTGGTATGAATGAAATTGTGTTGCGGGATAGGATGTGACGTCATAAATTATATTAAAATGAGTTTTAACTTATTAAAATGCAATTTAAAAAAAATTTAGACACACTGTATATATTTTGGTCATTGCAACACTGAAATACAACTTGGGGTCAATCGATAGGGAATTTTATTTAGAACATTTTTTATATAATAAACTATAGCGATATTTTGCTTAGTTTTGTTGTAAATCGTAAAAATGTAAAATTTTGCTCCGCCCCTTTGTTTTCACAGTTTTAAGTACGTTTATTTTAAGTTTTTAACTTAATTTTTAGATTTTTAAATTTAATTTTGAAGTTATTAAACATTTTAAAAGCCAATAGTTAGTCGTAAGTGAGTGAGGACAGAAGATCCGAGTGAATTATTTCTAGGTCAGCTAGAAGGCAAAGTAGAAAATCTACCGTTAGTGTGTCAAACATGAGACAAAAACTAAATGCGCAAGTTTAGACTTTCAAACAGTTTCGAAGACTTCAAATTAATAAAAATTTGAAAAATCCCTGGAATTAAATAAAAAAAATTCTAAAAATTAATTCACAGAGCCATAAAATTAGGTTAGAATATTTTGACAGATCATTATGCAAATTATTTTAGCAATTTTAATGAATTAACGAAGATATTGCTAAGAATGAAGAAGTAGCGTGAGAATTTAATTAAATTTAAGCAATTTTACAAGATTTATTGAGCTCAGGACAGAATTACAATTGTTTTAATTAAATCTAACACATTTTAAAACATTTTTTAGGTTATGAAACATTGAAATAGTTGTGGTTTGAGGTTATGTTTTCTCCAAACTGAAAAAACTTTCACTAAATGCTTGTTTTCATTTCCATTTAACTCATTGTTTAATCTTCTGCAGCTAAAGCAAAAGCAAAACGCAATAATATTTATATTTTCTGCTCTGGCGATCGCACCTTGCTCACGCAGCGCGCTCAATTGTTCGCTAAACGCTAAAAAACTTGTACAACAAACAAAACATTCAACTTCAAAAGCGGCGTAGTAAACATATCGCTCAATTTTCCATTCAAACGCACTCGAACAAATGAATTATTACTTTTTTTGCTTACCAGCGGCTGTAAATTTCACTATTGACAAGATGGCCGCCACACCAGATGCAAACTTTCATATATTTCACATATTTTTAACCTAAAATAAAAAAAGAAAATTTTCATAGTGAAATATTTGATTATTTTCTTAATATGGTAATGTTATAATATATAACCTATAAATATACAGTTGAGGTTAGGATATCAGCATGTGGGATGTCTGTATATGTACGTATTCAAAACTCAAAAAAACCTACGCCTTAGATTGCAGTAAAAAGAAGTGAAGTGAAGTGGATGGATAAGGAAATGCGATTTCACAATATCAAGGCGTATGCGCATACAGTGTGTCCGTATTCATACTGATTTATTAACGTTTGCATTTCGATTTGCATTGTTGGCGTGGTCCGCCGTAAACGCTTGGCCTAGATAAATAAATGCACGTGAATCATAAACCTAACCTAAGCGAGAATGCGCGATTGGAAAACAAGTGGGATTCAATCAGGAATTCACACACACGCTGCATAATCGACCTTTTCATGCAGTAGGAATATACAGTGTGTTTGTGTGATGAATTTGAACTATCGTGAGATAAAATTTAATTATAAATGTTTCTAGTGTTGCATTGGGTTTGTTGTTATACACAAACGTCAAAGTCACGTTCTGTAATTTATTTATCGAGCTTTTACCGATTAGCAGGCGGTTGCACAATCACATAATGCACCTTGCATTACAAATTAAGGCTAGCTCTGCTTGTTTGTTAGAACATACGTGTTAATAATCATCAAACAAACGCTAATAAAGAAATAAATTCAAAAATTCAGTTCACGTTTTGTGTTTTTGATGTTTTTTAAGTTGTTAAAGGTTTAGAGTGAAATTGCTTCAGTGAACTGTGAAATTTAAGTCTTTTTCTATTGTTGTAAAGTTTACTTAAGCTGAAAAGTGTAAAATATCATCGGCTATTACATCGTAAATTTGCGAAATCGCACTTCCTAGCTGTGTCTCCTTTAGTTTTGTGTTTTCATTTTGTTGTTTCGATTTATTTCGTCGTGATGTTCGTGATTTCGTGTACTTTCATCTTTACAAGGAAGACCTTTTACGTTGCTAATGATTGTGATTATTTTTGGAGTTTTAAGATGATGGTTTTGGTATTTAACACTCTGTATATATTTTTGTTATTAGAAGACTAAAATACAACTTAGCGTCAATCGATAGACAATTTAATTTAGAGGATATTTTATATAATAAACTATAGTGATATTTTGATTAGTTTTGTTGTAAATCGGAAAAATGTAAAAATTTGCTCCGCCCATTAGACTTAAGTACTTTTACTAAGTCTGATGCGTCAAGTAAAACCTAGAGACATCCCTAGGCGAAAACTTGGCTTGGTTTATCTCTAAACACTCTATAAAACCTCAATTATATTAAAAACTACTTAATAATCAACACTCTGTATATATTTTGGTCATTACAACACTAAAATACAACTTGGGCTCAATCGATAGAGAATTTAATTTAGAACATATTTTATATAATACACTATAGCGATATTTCCTATAGTTTTCTTATAAATCATAAAAATATAAAAATATACTCCGCCCCTTTGATTTAAGTAAATTTACTAAACCAACTGCGTCGAGACAAAGTCAAGCCCTGACCTAGTGACATCCCCCGCTGAAAATCCGGCTTAGACGCCCTAGAAAACCTCAATTCAATTCAATACCATTTAAGCAACATCCGTGTCTTCACAAAGACTACTTAAATACATACAAAGTGTTTAAAACACGCAATAAAATTGTATAAAAACTAGTCTATCGATAAAGAAACGGATGTAATCTGCCCTCCAATGTGGTGTTGTAGTAGTACTCCTCGACCGGCGACTCTTCTTTCATTTCCTTCGCTTCTTCATTCTTCTCAAAGCGTGAAACTTGTTTGTTTTTTTGTTGCGCTTGTGTCTGTGCTCCGATTTGTGAAGGCCCGACTTGACCATCGCCGGCCAACAAGTCATCAGCGCGTAATGCAATCAGTGAACTCTCGCGAGAGAAGAAAACGCCTCGGGAAAATAAGCACCTTCGCAGACAAGTGTAAAAAGAGTTGCAAGACGCGCAAGACAAGAAAACACGCGCGGTGTGTTGCTATGGGTCAATGAATCCTAGCATACAGTATGTCCCAAACAAGTATCATCTGTCAAAGTCACTATGATTACAATTCACACATCAAAATCATCATGTTTAACGTATACCTCTCAATTTTTGTCGTTTTCTGTCTTGATTTGTTCATGTATTTGTATAAAATTGATTTTTGGTAAAATTGATTGTTTGCAGTCACAGAGAGTACGAAGAGGAGAATGAATGGGGATGCGGCAGCTGGTTGGAGTACACCTTTGTTGTGATCATCGCCAGCGTGCTGCTGTTGGGCTCCCTGGCGCTGACGCTCTTCTGGGTCATCTACTACCAAGATGGCTTCGCGTGGCGTGACGACATCAAGAAGCAGTTCAACCTGCATCCGGTGCTCATGGTGGCCGGCTTCATCACTTTCAGCGGTTTCTGTAAGTAATTATTTTCTTTGGACACATTGTATATTAAAATGTCATTAGGGCCCTTCTATACAACTTAGGCTTAATCTTTAGAGAATTTAATTCTTAACAATTTTTATATAATAAACTATGTGTCTATTTTGCTTTGTTTTTATACAAAGTGTCCGTAAAGTTTTGAAAAAAAATATTATTGCTTTAAGATGCGGGTGTTGTGAGATTTGAATCCGTATTACATTGTTAACGTCATTAATAAACAACTTCCTCGATGCGATGCGAATCTGGCGTCTAACAACGCACTGCAAATTGTTAAATAACACCGAACCGTTCTCAGATGACATTGAACGCTACGTGCGCTGTTTACATGCAATTGTTTTATTAAAAACATGCATTGTATAATAAAGTTGAATCCTTGAAACTTCATTTTCACAATTTCAACCGGTCGAAATAAATTTTCTTATTTAAATTAATGTCAATCGCACCATTTAAAAGTAGAAATCTGTATTTTTAACTTTTCAATTGTTTTCTTTATCGTAGTGCGATTCGCATGCGCACTTTCTGTTAATTACACGCAGCGGCGCGATAAAGGCAAGTGGAACACGAATATGAGCTTTTCTATAATCTCAGCGCGTTTGAATGTTTGCGAACGCTTTTCAGATTTCGATTAGTCATATTTTATGTGAGTGAGCGGCGCAAATTCGTTGCCAATCGTGTTTTCCAATAGAAATTGTATGCATTCGCGTTCCACATTCGATTATTTTCATTTTATAGTGTTTTGGACACATTGTGTACGCATGGGTCATTACCGCCCTTCTATACAACTTGATCTTAATCGACAGAGAATTAAATTCTAAATAAATAATATATAATACACCATGTGTCTATCTCTTATAGTTTTCTTGTAAATTGAATTTAAAATTTTTCTGTTTTTTTTTTCTAGCAATTCTCTTGTATCGCATCTGTCGCTGCGGTCGCCGGATCTACGTGAAACTACTGCACACTGTGTTCCACGCCCTAGCCATACCATGCGTCGCAATTGGCTTCCTGGCCGTGCTGGATACGCATAACCTCAAACGACCGGAACCCATTCCGAACTTTTACTCGCTGCACAGCTGGATCGGCCTGGTCACCATGGGACTATTGCCATTTCAGGTACATTTATTTTCTCCTGAAATAAATAAATTATACTTATTTATCGCTCGTTCGTCCGTTTGTTAAATAACAGCATTAAATGGCACTAAATGACCTTAAAGTGACATTATAAATTTAAGCGCCTTTAAACGATCAGGCCGTAACGTCCGAATGAGTCATTAGATGTAATTGACGATGAATTGCTAGCAAATTGTCTAATGGTTAACCTACTTTACCTAAACGGTGTTTTATACAGGTGTTTTAGTATTAAAATATGTTTTATGGTTGTAATGATTCGCTAGTTTCCTGGTTCTATGCTGGGGCGCCACCATGCATTTCCGCGCCGCCATGGTACTTAATTCACGCGTCATTTAGGGTTGACTACCTTCTACTACAGCCCATTTACTGCCTGCGTCACTGGTCTGACTGAAAGGTGCTCTTGCAGATTAAATTTTGTATTGAAAAATTAAAAAAGTCCAACAAAATCCACACATTTAATTATTTTCTAACCTAAGTTAAGGATGTTTAAGTGTACTTAACCTTATTTTAACCTAAAATGCTTTAGTATACTTTAGTAAGCTTTAGTAAGCAGTAGTTTTACATGCATACAGTATGTCTGTGAAGACCGTATCTCTGCATTGTGTCGTTGTGTTGATTTCTGTTCGTTTGTGTTTGCGCATGCGCAGCAATTCGTACAACCGCCACCGGACGAAGCAATCGTCATCAATGCGATCAAGCATGAGCCTCTATCCGGGCTGGGCATCATCGTGATATACATCCTCCTGCAGGACAGCTTCCGGTATCGGACACAGATGACCATTCGCGACTCTAAGCCCACGCCCCCGCCGTCATTTGACGATCACATCACACACCACAAACACACATCAGAAATCAGCGATATCATCAAAACGCAGAAGAATTTTTTTAATGGCAAATAAAGCTACTAAGGCATCCCACTCTATTCTTGCATCCATCACACTCGTGTCGTGCGTGTTGCCTACGACCCTTTTTCAATCATCGTTTTTATACTCGATTTTTCAGCATAATTGTGAGCGACGATTCTAAATTTTTATTCATTTGTTGTAGTCTGTAAGTAACTTACTTTTCAGGTTAATGTAATCGATGGTAGGTGGTAAAATGGCGGACAAGTTATTTGTGCGATTGAATTTGTCTGTAGAGCACGAATAAATTCGAAAATGGATGATATATATACTCAAAAGCGCTGGAATTGACTCTTGGTCAATAGATGGCGCTACGATTTAAAGAATGTACGCCATTGTGATTAACGCATCCCGCATGTGTCTTGTTTTATTTTATTTGATTTTAGGTTTTAAGTATGTGTTTTATACTCTCACAATATACTGATTATTGGATTATACAGTACAGGTTTAACGATAAGTATGCATTTGCTAAGATTACCAATTTGGATTTATAAATGTAATAAATGACTGGATTTACGAAGTTCAGAACAATAAGAAAGCATGTATTTTGATATATTCTGTTATGTTGTGTTTGTTGCCGAGGAACATATGGTATGTCAGCATGTATAATAACCTAATATAAAATGACTGTATATTTATTTTTTAACCTAAAATTTTTTTTGGTTTTAAAATGGTGAACAATTTTTTGTGTCTTATTGGGTTGCCTATAGGGATAGCTATTCGAGTTCCCCAGGCAGGCAATTGTGGTAAACGCCCACTCGGGATGTGTTTTCATCGCCCTGGGGTATGTCTCCTTCGCCATTTGCGCATTTCCCAATTTGGCTGAAGGTGATAGCCAGGGTGTTCGTCAGGCGGGCCTACGACCTCCTAAGGAATGGCCTGCGCCTCCAAAGCAGACTCGGATCAGGAGGTGAGCGAGAGCCAAAGAGAAACCTGTGAAAGAGCTGACAGCCGAGGCCCAGAGCCAGCAAGGAACCCAAAGAACCCAAACCACTTACCCAAGAAGAAAAACCCAAAGGGAAAAGTCCAAGGATAAGGAAAGAAAGAAAAACAAGACCAAAGATGGAGAACAAGCCCGCCAGCTGAGGAACCTCCCTGGGATGTCCCTTATTGAAGAACCCAAGTCTGTGACGAAGGCAGAAAATGGCGCCGCTCGACGAATCCTCGAACGCTATTAGAAACGCATATACAAAAACTATGCACACATAGAATACTGCAAACAACACGTACGTTCCAGTACATTTCAACTTTTACTCTTTATACCAAAACAAACCAAAAAAACGAGCATTAAAACATTACCAATTAACAACATAACCTAATCTTAAATAATAGTAAATATGTAAGTGTGGTTGCATACGCCCAGCGAGCGTGTTCCATCTATGCAACCTGTGTGGCAGCTTTCCGTTTTGTCCGTCTGATACATTCAAAATAGCTGCTCAAAAAATCGATGTAGAAATCAAAAAAACAAACATAATTAGGTTGAATAATCAAAAAAGATTGTCCAATAGTTTTAAAAACTACATAGTCACAGCCAGCATGAAACAATTCTCTAGTGCAATCAGATGCTTTAAAACTTATCTAACCGTGTGTTATATTGATAAACAAACAATACGAGCAACGTCGTGAAAATCCTTGGACCTTTAGATGGCGTTAGATAGGATTTTTGAATGTCCATATGGAAGTGTTGTCACTTCTATCTAACCCTATAACTTGACCCGTGTGTGTAGGCACACCACTTTTACAAGATAGCGGCTAGGGAAATCAGATGTAGTGTAAAAATACTTTGCAGAAATACATATTGTACAATTTGTTTGAAATATGGATAGAACATAGGTAAAACAAAATGATGCGCATACATAAAAACACGAATATAAACAAGAATAATATTTAAACAAATGGAAATAAATGGGAAACAATTTTATTGTACAATTTTTTCAGGTACATCTTATTGCTTGTTTTAGGCGTATTGTACTTACATTGCTGCACGATGCAGGAGTTGAAGATTATATACCAACTGGCTATATTTATATTGCAAAATAAGTTTAAACCTCTTTACAAATGATATTAAACACACACAACACACACACACACATGAAATTGAGAGACACATAACACATAACAACGGTCCATTTTTTAGAAGTTTGTGTTGTCACGTTGAGATAATTGGCGCCACCTGTTGTTCGGTAGGCCACGATTTTAGACTCTTTTCATCTTTGTACAGAAGGTATTTAACATTCTTTAAAATATATATAAGCAACAACATGGACAGAAGTTAACTGTAAGAAATATTTATTAATGTGAATGCTATATTGGAATTATTATACAATTTAACAACAATAGTGTGTTGGTACATCACGTAGCTAAACGGAGTTTTAGTCACGGGATTGATTAGTATCATTCGAGGTGTTTATGCGGTTTGGTCACGTGATGCCCACGCTATTTTCTACTTCCATTTATTTCCACGATACGGTTTTCATTTAAAAGAAATTGGGAAATTGGAAATTCGTGACGCGTTGACACAAGCTGCGGCTGTACATGCGCAAACTCTGCCAGCCGAGCTAAAACCACGTGACTAAAGTACTTTAGTCAGTTTGCATCTATCTGTATTTTAAAATACACCACTTTTTTTGTGTCTCCCAAACCGTGGAAAACTGGAAATGAAAAACCTTAAATTAAATTATAATTAACAATTTACCATTTTAGACTCTAAAGTTTTGAGTGGAAATTTGAAACAAATTTACTATGTAATGATTTACGCTATGAGACTGTTTGATGGAGTAAATCTGTTTTAAATTAATGCAATTCATAAATTGTTGATTAATTTGATAATTTATTAATGATTATATACATGACAGTTGCTAAGAATATTTAGATTTAAATTGACAATTGAATAATTGATATTTACTAATATAAGCAATTATTAATGGGTAATAAATGCGCGTCCGTCGCGGCGCGTCTCATAATTAAACTTATAAAATGTAAACATTTAGTAGCGAGACGCATGTGCATATTACCATACAATACACATTCGTATTAATAATAATAATCTTGTGTTATTTTTAATTCCTTTCATCATTTGAAACCTCCTGTATATTTTTTTTGGGAAAATTATTTTTGGCGTTCGACACAGGGGTTGGATTTTTTGGTAAGTGCTGTCGAAAGAAGACAGGGTCCGTTTTATTTAAAAAATTTTATATGAAGGACAGGGGTCGGACTTTTGTTTAAAATTTTTTGGTCAAAACATGAGGCGAACTTTTTCGGTAAAAAATTTTCAGTGCAGGTAATTTTTTTTTTTTCTCTTAAAATGTTAATAGGGCCCTAAACTATCAGTGCTAGAATAAGAATTATTGTGAAATAATTTAATCAAATTTGAAATACCTCCAGAATCTGCAATCGAAATTGAAAAATTAACTTTTAATTTGTTACCAAAAATAGAAAAAGTTTTGCCTTTTTATGAAAGCGAAATCTTTTCACAGTTTTATGTTTTTATAGCGCAAATTAAAGTTGCAATTTTGAAATTTTTTCTTCGAATTATGATAAAACAGACCTTATAAATCATTTATTTTAGTAAATTTTTTACCTACACCCATATTTAGGCCTAATATTAGAGTGTATTCAATAGTTTCTGCGAATATCTTCTAAACTATACGTCATTAAAATAATTCTATTAAAATATTCATTCATATAATTGTCCTCTTTCATAATCAGCAATAAAACCTTAACTTTTGAATTTATAAAAACATGCAAAAATTAACAAAATATGGCGGAGGCACTGACATTTTATCACGTAATTCTAATTATTCTTAAAAATTAATAATACCATTACGGCCGTGGCTCTTAATACACTTATAAATTCATAACTTCTTACTTATTAGTATACCGTTTGCAGTAGAAGCATTTAAGTGAATTGTATACTTCCAGCAAATACTTAATTACCGATTATCTCCGAACTAATAGAGATATACAAAAAACGGAAAATTGTGCATTGTGTTCAGCAAAACCATTCTAAATATGATAAGCTTTTAAAATTTCTACTTTGAAAAGTGAAAAGTGAATTTTCCGACGCGATTTTCTCGGAAACTATAAAAGTTGCAGAAAAACTTTTTGCAAAATTCTTTCATGTCATGATAAGGATCTATAAAAACGGCAGATTCAGTTTTCTGATTCTAAGAAGTTGACCAAACACCACCCGAAAAGTATCAAGAGTGTTATCTCTAAGTATTTTGTGGCATAAAAACTCAACTTTAAGCTAAAGGAAAATGGAAAACGCCATTCGATCGAGAATTGCAATGTGATGAAAGATATCCAGTCAGTTTTCTTGATAACACCAATATTTCCCAAATTACCTGTCAAAACTGAAACAGGCCAAAAGAACCACAACCAGATTTTCTTCTCAAATTTCCAATATGATGTAGAATGATGCCTGAATCCATTTATTTAAGTTTTGTTTCGATATCTTAATTAGTTCTGAGTTATTGACCACTCTTTCAATTATTACATAAGTGTAGAAAATTTAATATTTTTAAGTACTAGATGATGTATAATTATGTCCTGAATCTGAATCTGAAACCGTTTTTCTTTTATCTTTATTAATTTGCGAGAAAAGCGCGATAAACTGATTTCAGTTTTCCATCATTTTATATGTAAAATCTAAAAAATGGTGTACCTAATTTTTAATGGTAAAATATGAAGAAATTGTGGATTTGTTACTCTTATTTTAGTAAAATTCTTTTATCAGACTGATTATTTTGATAATAATCAGTATTTAAGTTGTGTAACAAAACTGGGTCAATAGGCCCAAATACTGGTCGCAGAAGAAAAGTTTACTAAAAATAAATGATTTATAATGGTCTGTTTTTATCATAATCCAAAGAAAAATTTCAAAATCTAACTTTTAAATTTATGCTTATGCAAAAACATAAAACCGTGAAAAAGATTTCCGTCATAAAAAGGCAAAACTTCTTTTCATTTTTTATGCAGAATTAAAAATAGGAATT